AGTCCCATTCTGCAAATGGTGCTGCACCAGTTGAGTAGTCCTCGACTTACAATCAGTTGGGGGTTGCGGCATTAAAAAGGTTGAGAACCACTGGCCTGGACAGAAGAGGGCAAGGAAAGCAAGGGGGGAAGAACTGCTAGTCCTTGATTTACGACCTCAGTTGGTATTTCCATGGCTAAGCAAAGCAGTCGTTAAGCAAGTCGCATTCAATTGTACGGCCACCACGGTGGTGAAGTGAATCACTGCAGGCTGTTCAGTGAATCCCGCGGTCGCGGATCGAATCCAGCTTCCTTCCCCCTTAACTTGGCTTTTTTGAAGGCTGCAAATGGCGATCACAAGATCCCCGGGACACTGCGACTCTCATAATTACACGCCGGTTGCCGAAGGAGCCAAATTCTGATCATGAGACTGTAGGGATCATGGGATCGTTCCTAAGTGGGAGGACCAGTCCTGTGTCATTGCTTTTGGTGCTGCTGTAACCTTGAACAGTCACCAAAGGAAGGGTTTTTAGGTGCCTGAGAACCACGTTTCAACCACGCGTTCCCGAATTTGGGGCCAACCACAATCCTTGGCCAAAGTGGGGGAGAGAGCATTGTCATGTTCACCAGCACCTCATGTTTGGCTATGCAGCCAAATGCTCCCTGCGTCTCCCTGTCTACCACTCCCCTTTTCTTCTTTTTTAATTTCATTGAATTTTATAGAATAGGATCGGGATAAGGATTAAGGTTTGGGGTGGGGTCGGGATCAGGATTGGGGTTGGGGTCAACACTGGGCTTATCCCCCCATAACGTTTTCAATCTTTAGCAAACAGACTATTGTCTGGGTACATATATTCAGTTAATAAGGCGATCCAACCAGTCAGTCCTAGAGGAGATCAACCCTGACTGCTCTTTAGAAGGCCAGATCCTGAAGTTGAAAGTCACCTAATGAGAAGGAAGGACTCCCTGGAGAAGGGCCTAATGCTGGGAAAGATGGAGGGAAAGAGAAGAAGGGGACGACAGAGAATGAGGTGGCTGGATGGAGTCCCTGAAGCAGCAGGCATGAGCTTCAATGGACTCCAGAAGATGGTAGAGGACAGGAAGGCCTGGAGGAACGTGGTCCATGGGGGCGCGATGGGGTGGACACGACTTCGCAACTAACAACAACAAACTGCAATAAGTGTAGTAAACGATAATCATAAACAGGATCAGTTAATTAATGCATATCATTCTTCTTACTAATACATATACAAAGTAACCTATCACATTCATTTCCCACTCGTTCGTTTTCCTAACCATTGGTGAAAATGATCCCGTGTTCTCAAGTAAACTGAACCTTCTTTCTCTTTCATCTCCGAGGTCAATCTATCCATTTCTGCACATTCTACGATTTTCTTTAATTAAAACCCCTTCCGTTGCCAAGTTTTTTGTTTTTCCAACATTGGGCATCCCTCTTCTTGACTGCAGCACATCCGCGTGGGCTGGGAGCAGCTCCTGACCACGATCGCCCGCACCATCAATGAAGTGGAGAACCAGATCCTGACCCGTGATGCCAAAGGCATCAGCCAAGAACAGATGAACGAGTTCCGGGCTTCCTTCAACCATTTCGACCGGGTGGGTAGCAGACTGCTCTCAGGCTACTAGCAGGTCTGGAACAGAAAGGCCTGTTCTCCGGGTTAGGAGCCTGTCACTCAAGCCACGTGCTTGGGGGGGGGGCAGGGCTGGTCTGAGCCTCCTCCGCTCACCTTTTTCCCCGCTTGACTCATTGCAGAAACGAAACGGCCTGATGGAGCCTGACGACTTCCGGGCCTGCTTGATCTCCATGGGATACGACTTGGTAGGAAGTCAGCCTGGACTGGGAGGATTGGTTTTTGGGTGCCTGCTGCACCTCCTGGAGGGGAAGGGCACTAAAACCACAGCCTGTGCATGCATACAAATCAATAAAGGAGACTGTGTGTAGTTCAGGGTTGGCAATGAGGGGTCCTTGGTGCTCTCTTGAGCTTGGCGGTTTTCTCGCAGACATCTCGTGACCCAACTAGGGAACATCATCAGTGCTAGAAGGGAGAGGAGTTTCAAGAGAAGGAGGAAAAGGACTGTGGGGTCCTTGAGCTGGGTGGTTTTCTTGCAGATGTTTCATGACCCAACTAGGGAACATCATCAGCGCCAGGAGACAATGGGATTTGTGGAGAGGAGGAGGAGGAGGAGGACTGTGGGGTCCCTGGTGCTCTCTGAGCTTGGTAGTTCTCGCAGACGTTTCAGGGCCCAACTAGGTAACATCAACAGTGCTAGTCAGCCTTGAACCAGGCTAGTTTTAGACAATAAAATGAATGGTGGTCTGTGCGATAGGGAGGACGTATGAATCGGGGGAAGGTCTGCCAGGCACTTTCGGAGTTACCCCACTTGGGAACCTGAATTGGGGAGGGAACCCACCCCTCAGGTATCCTCCCTCTTGCTCCTAGGGGGAAGTGGAGTTTGCCCGTATCATGACCCTGGTGGATCCCAACAACACAGGGGTGGTGACCTTCCAAGCCTTCATCGACTTCATGACCCGGGAGACGGCCGAGACCGACACGGCGGAGCAGGTCATAGCCTCCTTCAAGATCCTGGCTTCAGACAAGGTGAGTGTTGCCCCCCCCCCGGAGAGAGGATGGGTTGGGGCGGGGGGGAGAGATTCTGCTTTACCCACACAAAGGACTCAAGATTAAACCTAGATTAGCTGGTCTCTTGCCAAGGAGAATCAGCAGCCGGGATTCAGCCTGTTGGTTCTGGGTTGTTGTTGTTTTTGCCATCTCTGCTTCCTTCCTTGCCTAGCGTCGGAAATCCTTTGTGTCCCATAGGAGGGAAGGCCAGGCCCCCTCCCAGACCTGCAGTATAATCCCAATTATTCTTGAATTTCATGATTTACGGTGGGCCAGCTCTGCATTTGTGGGGCAGGAGACGAGGGAGTCCATCGTGACAGGCCTCTCCATGTATCGTAGACCTCTCAGGCAGCAGGAAGGAAGCCCCCCCCTCCCGAGGCTCACCCCATACCAGCCCATATCCAAGCCTGGTCTGGCCTTCTGCCCCATGGCAGATACCTCCCCTCCCCTTCTTCTTCTTGTGCCATATCCGTTATCAGACGTTGGCGATCCTGTTTTTATCCGCAGCCGCACGAAAAAGGGGCTGCTGAGTTTTGTCCAAACCAGTCCCTTCGACTTTGAAGCCACGATGTTCTTCTTCTTCTGCCTGGACCTCGTTTCCCTTCCATCTTTCCCTGGAGGATGAAATGGAGCATGCTGTGTTTTTCTGGGGTGTCGCATCACATGTCCGAAATATTCTAATTTTCGTTTTTTAATCGTTTTGATGGATTTCCCCGGGCATTCCCAGGCGGCTTATCCCCTCCTCATTTCTGACTCTAATTATTCTCTTCTATTTTCTATTTCCTCCTTGCTCCTCCGCAGAACTTCATCACGGTGGAAGAGCTGCGTCGGGAGCTGCCCCCCGAGCAGGCCGAGTACTGCATCACCAGGATGACCAAGTACAGCGGAGCCGATGCCGTCGCAGGCGCCTTGGACTATGTCTCCTTCTCCAGCGCCCTGTATGGGGAGAGCGACCTCTGAACGCCCTTCCCCAGACCCCCCCCAACCACAAAAGGCATGTGGGAGCCAAATGACCCCCCCTCCTCCTCCCTTCCAGGGAGCTAACCCCATTCGAGTCGTGTGCCCAGGGAAAGGCGGGCGCACGCCATAGCAGCCCCCTCCCCCACATGCCCCCCAACTGCTGGGCAAGGTCCCCCCTCTCCACCTGTGAGCCACAGCTGGTGGATCCAGGGGTCAGAAAACCAGTCCCTGTCCTGCTGCTGTCTCTCTCTACTTTGCTCCTGAGCTAGTCAGCCCTCCTCCCTCCAGGCTGTGCTCTGCCCTGCCTCCTCCTTTTCCCCCCCCCAGGCCCCTCACCTCTGGGTTTCTCAGCCCCCCCAAGATCTGGCGATGCTTCAAAAGGCAGCCCTGGGCGCTGTGCAAACGGTCACCGGGGCTGGCACGAGGGGTTCCCAAGGAAGCAGGGCAGGGCTGCACGGAACAAAACGCTGTACCAATAAACACCACCCACTGGAGGCCCCTCTGTGGTCGGGGTCTTTCTTCTGGCTAGGCCAAGGGGGGCCCCGGGGTGGGATGTACCGCCGAGGTCCTGCAAGCTAAAAGGCCAAAGGGGGGGGGCGGAACTCCGTGAGCGGGGCGCCAGGTTTGCTTAGAATGGAAACGGCTGGATGGAATTCCATGTACGGAAACTCATCAAGGAGAGAAGCAACGTAGAACGCAGGAGACACTTCCCGACAGCGAGGACGATTAACCAGCGGGACGGCTTGCCACCAGAAATTGTGAGTGCTCCCTCCCTGGGGGTCTTAAAGAAGACGTTGGACCGCCATTTGTCCAGAATGCTGTAGGAGAGGGGTGGCAAACTCGCAACGTCACGTGACATGTCGCGACATACCGCAATTTTTTCCCCCCCATTGCCGGCCATGGGGCGGGGGCGGTTTTGCTATGATGCATTCGGCCCGCAGGCCAGTAGTTTGGCACCCCTGCTATAAGATCTCCTCTTTGAGCAGGGGTTGGACTAGAAGACCTCGGAGGGCCCTTCCAACTCTTATTCTGTTATTCTGGAAGCTGGCCCTCTCCCTTCTGCCCACATATCCCGAGATGCCCTGTAGTTTCTTTTGACTTTCTCACGCAGCCAGCGGTTGATGCCTTCCCGGTAGCAAGTGCTTGCAGAGAAAGATGCAAGGATCTTGACAGGATCCCCTCTGGCTCCTTGAGCAGTTAGACTAGCGAGCAAAGATTGAGTTAGACTACTCTCCCTCCGGTGATCCTGCTTTGGCCGCCGAGGAAATAGCCCCCTTGCTAGAACCCACCGGCGGGCACTCCTTCTCGTGGCCTCCGAGTCCCGATTCAAATGAGAAATCCGCCCGAGGGAGAAAGACCCAAAGGATCCTAGTTAACAGGGGACACCCCCCCCCCGCCCGCGTCCATTAAACCAACCGAGGGGGCCTCCTTAAAGTACTTTATTAATAAAAAATAGAACTCTTTGGGGCCTGGAAGAAAAGGACCCTGGGATCACTAGAAAAAGGGGTGGTTGGCTCAGGGCGGGTGTGCGAGAATGCCAGCGTGGCTACCCAGGGTGGAAAACAGTGACGAGCTTCTCTGGGAACGGTGGCGCTCCCGCCCTTCCCAGCTGCAAACCAGTGTGGGCCCAGAGCGTAGCCTAGCCCTCTGTGCGTTCCCCCGGAGGGAGGACAGGCGGGCATGGGAGCGTTGGCAGCCGGGGTGCCCTCTGGGTGTCAGGAGCACCAGGAAGAGCTGCTGAGGCTGTCTGCGGGAGAGGTCAACCTGGAGAGGGAGCAGATGGGCAGGTGTCCAAAGAAGGCCGGGTCCGTCATGGGCAGAAGGAGGAGGAAGAAGAGCACCACGCCCAGCAGGTAAAAGAAGACCACCAGGAAGCACTGGGAGTGTTCCAGAGCCGCGCCCACCGCGGGGAATCCGACGTAGTTGCAGAAGGAGTGGCAGAGAACCGGCCCAATGAGGTGTCCTGCGTGGAGAGAGGGCGGCGGTGAAAAGGAGAACATGAGCAGAGAAAGAAAACAAGGTCTCCCTCGGTGGAAAAGCCACCACCCAGCGATGTCGGGTGAACTAATAACGCTTTCTTTCAGTCAAGCTAAAATGAATTTGAGCTGGGAGGCAGGCGAGAGAGAGAATTCTTCATTTTGGGCCAAGGAAAAGACGGGATACTAAGCCAGAACAGGACTATCTTAAGCCCCCCCGTCCACCCACTTTGTCTTAATCCCGGATTAGCCTCGATAGAAAAGGAGAAGAACCTCTGCTCAGAATCAGGGTGTGATTGTTGTTTGCAGAGAAGAGGGCTCAGCATCTCAATTTTAAGATTTGGAACCTCCGTCATTCCCAACCCTCCGAGGGGGACATCCAGAGACCTCCCCGCAGGTGACCACAGCGGAGGAAACCTGGCAGGTAACGGTGGAGGAAACGTCTCTGAAGCAGGAAGATGATGGGAAGGATAATCCCATCTCCCAACCCTTCACCCACCTGTTCGGATGAAGAGGAACGCGGTGTAGGCTCCAAAGATGGCGGTGTAGGAGAACTGGAACACTGCAGGGGAAAGGAGCAGCTGGTTAGGAAAGATGGTGCGTTTGTGCGCCCACGCAACGCTGCGTGGAGGGAGCAGGAAATCCAATTTAAAAAGAGGAGGCCTCTGTGCGTCCCCCACCAGAGCAACCTCAGGCCAGTTGAATTGGAAATTCAAACGATGACAGATACTCAGCGACTGGCAACTTTTAAGATGTCTGGGCTTCAACTCCCAGAATTCCCCAGCAATATGTCAAAACTAGCACCACAAATCTATTCATAATGGTCTGGTCCAGGGGTAGGCCACCTTGGCTCTTTTGTGACGCATGGCCTTCAACTCCCAGAATTCCTGAGCCAGCCACGCTGAGGGGAAAGGGAGAGGTTTCCAAGCTGAGCCATGCTGGCTCAGAATTCTGGGAGTTGAAGTCCACGAATCATGAGGGGGCCATAGTTCCCCTACGCTGGCTCAGGAATTCTGGGAGTTGAAGTCCACGAGTCATGAAGGAGCCAAAGTTTCCCTCACGTTGGCTCAGGAACTCTGGGAGTTGAAGTCCACGAGTCATGAAGGAGCCAAAGTTTCCCTCACGTTGGCTCAGGAACTCTGGGAGTTGAAGTCCACGAGTCATGAAGGAGCCAAAGTTTCCCTCACGTTGGCTCAGGAATTCTGGGAGTTGAAGTCCACGAGTCATGAGGGGGCCATAGTTCCCTCATGCTGGCTCAGGAATTCTGGGAGTTGAAGTCCACGAGTCATGAGGGGGCCATAGTTCCCTCACGCTGGCTCAGGAATTCTGGGACTTGAAGTCCACGAGTCACAAAAGAGCCAAGGTTGCCTACCCCTGGTCTGGTCTAAGCCTTTTCCCTCACCATTCAACTTTAGTTTTTTGGGGGGGTTGGCCAAAACTGTGATTTTGGGGGGGGGGTAAGCTTCAATCCAAGATTCCCCTGCCTCGCTCCCTTTTAATTAAGCCCCCCCCCCCCCGGACCGATCCGCACCTGCCGAGAGAAAGATAGTAGCTCTGCTTCCTTGGCGAAACCGCAGCTGCTCGATAACATGATGGAAATGAGCTGCAGGAAGAAAAAGAATTACCACATTAAAAAAAAATAAACACACACAGACACATCTTGGCCAAACAGAGGTTCTACCCTGGCTTTACAGATAGTCCTTGACTTAGGTTGTTTAGCGACCAACGACTGAAAAAAACAAAACAATCTGGTCCTCTCACTTAAACCACGGCAGCATCCCCACCATCAAAATTCGGAGGCTGCGTAACCAGCCTGTATATACAATGATTACAGTGTCAACAGAGCCATTTGTGACTTCCCCAGCAGGCTTCTGACAAACCAGGTCAACGGGGGAAAGCCGGTTTTGCTTCAACCGCACGGTTCACTTAGCAACCGGCAGTGGTTTGCTTAATTGTGGCAAAAAACATATCATAAAAATCAGAGAAGACTCGATTAACAATTGCCTTGCTAGCAACGGAGAGTCTGTTGCCGATTCTGGTCGTAAGTCGGGGACTGTATTTCATCCCCTATTCCAAGAAGCGTTAAGCGTTCTTCATAGGTTGAGCGGGGGGGGGGGAACCAAGCTTGTTGACATCCTAGCTTCAGAGGAAAATCAGTCTAATTTGAGTCAATCATGACTCCCGCTGACTTCACCCCTGGGGTTGGCTTGGCAACAGCATGGACAAGGGATGCTAATTTTTCCAGAACGGTGTTTTTCAGCTTTCCCGCTAAGCCTACGGATTTGCAGCTTTCTGGAGATCTCTTATTCAATGTCTAACAGCTGGATTCTCTAGCTTTTATGAAATTCTTTAGCTACACCTGGGTGCTTTGTTTTCCAAATCAGCAGGCACTCCAATCAAAGTTAGATCCGGAGCTTCCTGTTTGCCCCCACCCGATTCCCTACCCCACCGAAGCGTCTTTTAGTTAGATTTTAATAACCACAACGCAGAAAGCGAGCAAGTGAAAAGCAAAGGCTTGCCCCCCCCCTTTTTTTTTTTTTTTTTGGTTTAGGAAGGCCTGTAAGCAGGAGGACCATTTGCCCAAAGAATAAATGAATAAATCAGGCATTCACACCATATTGGCAGAATATTTCCGGTGCAGGGTTCCTTGGTGATCTCTGAGCTTGCAGACGTTTCGTGACCCAACTAGGTAACTTCATCAAGGCTCACAGAGGGCAAACCCCAATCCCTTCCAGCACTGATGAGGTTGCCTAGTTGGGTTGCGAAGCGTCTCGTGCTCAAGAGAGCACCAAGGACTCCACAATTTATCCATTATCCCGCCGTTGTCTGTTGGCCTTCTGGTACACCGGGGTTTAGTAACGACTTGGAGGAAGAATCAACCTTGTCAGGGAAGACCCCACCCCTTTAATAGTGCTCCCCCAACCAGATCCAGACAAGAAGAGCAAAAAGCCCACAACGGCTCAGGGCTTATTGGAGAGAGGGGTGGCAATCGAACGTAATCGATCGATCAATTAAAAACTCACCGACTCCAAAGAAGAGCGGGCAGGTGACAATGGCCAGTCCTACACCCGTGCAGGGCACCAACATGGGCACCATGCAGGCCCGGAAGACCAGCTCTTCGGTGAAGGGCGCAATGACCTGGTTGCGCAGCCAGCGCATGTCGGTGAGACAGAGAACCCAAAACCTGGGGTCTGAGAGGGGGAGAAGAAGCAGTGTTACTGACGCCCCCCCCCCAAAAAAACCCCACAAACACACACGCCTTGATTTCTTGAGCAGGGGGGGAAAAAATAGCAATGAACCTCCTGCTCAGTTTAGGAGACTGTCGCGGGATCATCTGAACTGCCACCAAGAATCAACCCGAGGCAGTCCTCGACTTACAAAGCTCCATTTAGTGACCGTTTGAAATTACAACGGCACTCAAAAAGTGACTTAGGCCCCTTGTTCACATTGACCGTTGCAGCATCCCCAGGATCATGTGATCAAAATCTGGACGTTTAGCAAGCCAGCATGTATTTATTTCCCAGCCGGCTTTCTAAACAGCAGAGTCAATGAGCTGAATTCATTTAACCACCATGTGACTCGTTTAACAACTGCAGCGTTTCCCTTCACAACTGTGGCCAAAAATGGTTGTAAAAGTGGGCATGGCACGCTCCACTCCACCCCTGTCTTGCTTCGCTACCAAAATTCTGGTCTCGGCTGGGATCCTAATTCGAGACCAGTTATTTCTCAAGCTCAGCCCCTTTAAGAGGGGTGGACTTCAACTCCCAGAATTCCCCAGCCAGCCATGGAAGTTGAAGCCCGCCCCTTTTAAAGGGACCGAGCTTGAGAAACACAGACACAGGGAACTGATCAAACCACCCACCATTAAATTCTCCAAAACACAGCGCACATGTCCCCACCCAAAGAAAAAATGGCCCCAAAACATTTATCTACCCCTTAGTGAAATATATATATTTATTAACACAAAGCCCATCCACAGATCCTTACCAAAGGCCACTCTTAAGCCATCGACCATGTCCCAGGGACAGTCCATAGACAGCTGGATGAGGGGGCCGAGAAACAGGATCTGGGAAGAGAGCAGAACCATGTTCACCAGGGCGTTGCAGAAACCCGCCCATTTTAACCATTAAAAATAATTTATTCCCCCCACCCCTTCCCTCCAGCTGTGGAAGAGGGAAAGGCTTTCTCTCAAGGACAGCCTTGGCAAAGACCCAGGTCGCGGGCTAGTTGTCGGAAAAGCTCGGCCCGAAGCCGTTAAGGTGAGCCACCCTTACCACAGTCAGAAGCAGGGGCAACAGCGTTGCCGGCAGAATGCCCTCCAGCCGGAAGCCCATCAAGGTGAGAAGGGATGCATCTGGCTGAGCAGAAGAGGAGACATCTTCATCAGCACCCCCTAAGCAGCAGCTTCCCTCTCCTTTTTCCGCAGGGAAAGGGGCATCTTAGCCAAAATTAAGTTGCAGGCTTCTCCTGCTGTGAATTGATTTCAGCCACCGGAGAGGTTGGAAAGGGGAGACTTATTTGTGATTTTTTTTTTAATCCTGTGGTTATTACTCAAGGCACTGGACACGCCTAGTGCTCCTTCCTCTTCTTATTTTCCCCACCAAAACATCCCTCTGAGGTGGGCTGGGTTGAGAGAGAAAGACTGGCTTGAAGTCACCCAGTCAGCTTTCACACCCAAGGTAGGACTAGAACTCGCTGACTCCTGGTGATTGGCCCAGTCACCTGCGTGTCTTTCACGTCCAAGGCAGGCCTAGAACTCACCGTCTCCTGGTGACTGGCCCAAAGTCACCGAAGTATCATTCATGTCGAAGGCAGGACTAGAACTTACTGTCTCCTGGTGATTGTCTCAAAGTCACCTAAGCATCAGTCATGTCCAAGGCAGGTCTAGAACTCACTGTCTCCTGGTGATTGTCTCAAAGTCACCTAAGCATCAGTCACGTCCAAGGCAGGTCTAGAACTCACTGTCTCCTGGTGACTGGCCCAAAGTTACCCAGCTGGCTTTCATGGCTAAGTCAACACTAGAACTCACTGTCTCTCGGGTTTTAGCCTGATGCCTTAACCGCTTCGACCAAACTGGATCAAGATAATGTACATAAGGCACCATCTTAGACTCCCTGGAAATAGACTATTAAAATTATATGCCGGCCAACTTGCCTTCACACAACTTTTTACTTAATGCTGTGAGATGCCACAATTATTCCACATCAACTCCCATCATTCCCAAATAGGCAGCGGAATTATTGTGCTGTGGGTGGCCGGAAGAGTTTCCTTCCACCTTTTAAGCATCCATTCAACCCACAATAGGCCTCACCTCTCACTTTGACTGGTGGCTATGTTGACCACAAGCCATTTAAACTGGTTCCTGAATCGTACCACATACCGAGGCAGGGATGAAGCAATGGATTAGCCACTCTCCACACCAAAAAAAACCCCTCCAATCTAGCTAATTGCGCATCGTTGAGTGCTGTGTAGCATGAATCTTTTGCCAGGTTGCAATTATCTTGATTAAGTGCGCTGAAGCAAAGGCGGCCATCAAACGGTTCAGATTGACTGGAGGAGTGGAAGCTGCCAAGAGTGGGCGAACATCACCCACTCTGGTGATGGCCCAAATCTTCTCCTAGGCAACGTCCTTTTGAACACGGGTGTCCTTGAGCCGTTTTGCTCGCCCCAGGAAACTGGGCAGGACTGTCCTGCCAAGTCAGGATGACCGCAAGGCAAGGGGACGTCGCTCCGATCTCGGTCTTGCAAAATGGCACCACCAAGAGATCACTTGGCTTGAACAAGTGCGGATTCCAGCAACCAGCTTCGGCTGGTCACTGCACAGAAACTGGCCCAGCTCAAACTGCTGATGCTGGTCTTTTAAGGCTCTAAATTTGGTCTAGTGGTTAAGGCACCATCAGACTAGAAACTGGGAGACGGTGAATTCTAGTCCCTCTTTAGCCATGAAAGCCAGCTGGGTGACTTTGAGCCAATCACCAGGAGACGGTGAGTTCAAGTCCCTCTTTAGCCATGAAAACTGGTTGGGTAAGTTTGGGCCAGTCCCTCCCCCCCCCCTCTCTCTCTCTGCCCAATCCACCTCACAGGGTTGTTGTTCTGAGAAAAATAGGAGGAGAAAGGTATGTTGGATATGTTCACCGCCTTGAGTTATTTGTAAAAATAACAAACAAATGGGATATAAATAAATAAATTGTGTAAGCCCCTAATTTAGGTATTCAATTTATATGTCATCCATCTCACTATCCAAGCAACTCTGGGCAACTTGCAATATGTTTTGAAGCAAATCCTTTTCCCACACCTCTCCACCTGCATGCTAATATATTAGCCAGTTGATCTTTTTCCATCAAATATTGCTTCTGATACGGCAGGGGTCTTCACACTTGGCCCTTTTATGACTTGTGGACTTCAGCTCCCAGAATTCTGGGAGTTGAAGTCCACAAGTCATAAAAGGGCCAAGTTTGAAGACCCTTGTGTTACGGGATAAATCTATTTCAGCAAGGCTGTTTTCTGATATAAAACACTTTTTCTACACTAAGCTAAGAGGATACCTATCAAGGCTGCATCTGTAGCCCCCAGAGCCCTCCAAACGTTAGCACCGATTTTTATTTCTTTCTTTAATGCAACAGAAGATGGAAACTGTCATAATACGGGCGTAATAAGCCAAAGAGGTTTAAAGGTGACATTCAGTCAAATGTAATTTTTTTTTTCCCTGTCGCTTCTCTTTGCAAACATATCCAGCAAAGGGAGAGTTTGTCTATCTGAACATAGTTGGGTGTCCCGGAAAAACAATTGTTGAATCCAGCATTTCACAACTTTAGAAAGCATTTTAAACCCTTGGGCTTTTCGTCTCCACTTTTCCCCTGCTGTGTTAAAACATTTGTTGTTTGGATTCATTTTGGAAGAAAGAAAGAAAGAAAGAAAGAAAGAAAGAAAGAAAGAAAGAAAGAAAGAAAGAAAGAAAGGAGGGAGGGAGGGAGGGAGGGAGGGAGGGAGGGAGGGAGGGAGGAGGGGAGGGAGGAAGGAAGGAAGGAAGGAAAGGAAGGAAGGAAGGAAGGAAGGAAGGAAGGAAAGAAGTAGTCTGTAAAGAAATAAACAAGTCTTTGAGACGTTGGCCAAAAGCTCCCGGGCGCCCTCACCTTAATGCCCGTCACCTCTTTCCAGACCCAGATGAAGAGGGGTGAGAAAGTGGAGACCACCAGGACGCTGGTGAAGCGGCGCTTGATGACAGCAGGGTGGTCCCTGCAGGAGGAAAAACCGAAGTCTGAAAAAGTCCCCAAACCTGCTGCCAGCAGGAAAAAAGGTAAGTCTCTCTCTCTCTCTCTCTCTCTGTGTGTGTGTGTGTGTCTGTGTGTGGAGAGGGGGGGGGGGAAATATAACGCAGTGCAGCCTAGGGTGCTGATCTGTCCATTCACAAAACCGGCCGATCCGGGGAAAGGAAACCCCGGCGAAGTTCAGCCTCCGTGGGTTTATCCCACCGCAGAGAAGCCCAAGGGTTCAAGTTGACTCCAAAGCTCTTGGCTTGGCTGAGGCTTGGATTGCCCCCCTCCCCATTTCTGCCAAGGGGCTTCGGCATAGAGACCCCCCTCCCTCCCTCCCTCCCCCCCAAAGCAAGCCCGGCTCCTTTCTCGTAGGGAAAGAGCCCCCCCCAGCCCCCTGCAGGGGATCGGGGCTGCCTCCGGACCTCCAAGCCAGGCTGGGGAAGGGGGGCAGCCCCTCCGAGCGTCCGTAGCTGCCCCCCCCGTCCTCACCTGGGCAGGTGGCTCTTCCAGACGTAGAGGCTGCCCACGTAGGAGCAGGCCAGGCCGAGGCAGGAGAAGAGCGAGGCCCAGCACAGCCCGGACCCGGCGCCCCCCGCCGGGCCCTCCGCCGACATCGGGGCGCTGCAGGAGGAGCGCGGCTCAACCCGGCCGCCCAGGCCAGGCAGGCAGGCGGGCAGGGCCGCGTGGGGAGCCTCCGCCTCCCAGCCGCGGAAGAGGAAGCCGGCCAGCCCGGCCGGCGGCGGTGCGCAGCGAGCAGGGGAAGGAAGCGGGCCGGGCTGCCCTGCGGGGATTGCGGCAGAGAGACCCCGGCCCGGGCCAGGCGGGCATCCCGCCCCCCGCCGGCGAGTCCCGCCAGGGCAGGCGCCCCACCCCGCCGCCTCCCTCCCCCCCCCTCCCTCCCGCTCGGTCGGGGTCGGCAGGTGGACGGGGCGCTCCCGGGGGGGCTTCGGGCGCTACACGACGGGCGATCGCCGTCCCCGGGCTTGAGGTCGCCCGCCTTGCGAGAAGGGGAAGCAGGCGAGCATTCCGCCCGAGAGAGAGAGAGACGCGGCGCCTTGCGCCGCTAGGGGGCAGCAGATGCCCGCCGCGGCAGGTCTGGCGAAAGCTAAGCGGGGTCGGGTCCGGTTGGGAGCGGAGGGGCAAAAAGGGCAGCCGCGAGGGAGTGTGTGAAGTGATGGGGAACTGGGGTCGGGGGAGAAATCCTGAGAAATTGCCAAAATCAGGACTAATGGCCTTTCTTGGGTTCCTCCGTAGCATTTGGGGGAAGGAGCAGCCCCCCCTTCCCACCCACCCCACCCCCAATTGCCAAAGCCAGAGATTCCTGCCCCCCCCCCCAGTTCTTCCTGGCTACAACAGGCATCTCGGACACAAAGGGGTCCTGCCTTTTCGGTGGTCCATCAAGGTCCAGCCTCTGTGGATTCGTTCTCAATCTTGGCCACTTTAGGATGGGGGGGGACTTCAATTCCCAGAATCCCCCCAGCCAGCATGCTTTAAGATGGGGGGACATCAACTCCAAGAATCCCCCAGCCAGCATGCTTTTAAGAGGGGTGGACTTCCACTCCCAGAATCCCCCAGCCAGCATGCTTTTAAGAGGGGTGGACTTCAACTCCCAGAATCCCCCAGCCAGCATGCTTTAAGATGGGGGGACTTCAACTCCCAGAATCCCCCAGCCAGCATGCATTAAGAGGGATGGGCTTCAACTCCCAGAATTTCCCAGCCAGCATGCTTTAAGATGGGGGGGGACTTTAACTCCCAGAATTCCCCAGCCAGCATGCTTTTAAGACGGGTGGACTTCAACTCCCAGAATCCCCCAGCCAGCATGCTTTAAGATGGGAGGACTTCAACTCCCAGAATCCCCCAGCCAGCATGCTTTAAGAGGGGTGGACTTCAACTCCCAGAATTTCCCAGCCAGCATGCTTTAAGATGGATGGACTTCAACTCCCAGAATCCCCTAGCCAGCATGCTTTAAGAGGGGAGTGGACTTTATTTCCCTGGATTTCTCAACCAGCATGAGAGTTGAAGTCCACTCCTCTTAAAACATGTTGAGAGGGGAATTCTGGGATTTGAAGTCCCTTCATCAAGGGCCCACGGTTGACAAACACTGCTCTAGGAACAGCGTTGTGTTCAGTCTTTAGTTAGTGGAAGGGACCAAGAGACAGCGAGTGGCTTTTTTCATTTATTGCCTCGCCCGAGACACTCCCGGGAATTCCGTTAAGTGAACAGGAATGGCTGCTTCAAGAGGTCCACTTGCCCATGTTGAAGACCTCCCGAGCCCAAACGTCCTTCTCCTCCTGCAAGACGGAGAAAGTCAGAAGAGAAAGCAGCGTTTGAATGATGTTAAAGCAAAAACGTCTGTCAGCCTAAGGCAGCGTTTCCAAACCTGGACAACTTTGAAAGGAAAAAACAGAGCTGGAAGGGACCTTGGAGGTCTTCTAGTCCAACCCCTTTGTTCAAGGAGGAGACCGTGTACCATTTCACACACATGGTTGTCCAATCCAGGGTTGGAGCACCCACAACACCTGGAGACAAGGCCTTCCACTGGTTAGTTGTTCTCACTGTCGGGAAATTCTGCCTTAGTGCTAGGTTGCTTCTCTCCTTGATTAGTTTCCACCCGTTACTTCTTGTCCTGCCTTCAGGCGCTCTGGAGAATAGCTTGACTCCCTCTTCTTTGGGGCAGCCCCTGAGATACTGGAAGACTGCTATCCTGTCCCCCCTCGTCCTTCTCTTCATTAAACTAGACATCCCCAATTCCAGCAGCCTTTCCTTATATGCTTTAGCCTCCAGTCCCCTAATCATCTTTGTTGCTCTTCTCTGCATTCTTCCCAACCTATTTTTTTATATCACGGCGACCAAAACTGGATTCAATATTCCAAGACTTGAAGACTTCAACTCCCAGAATTCCCCAGACAGCATTGAGATGAGTGGACTTCAACTAAGTGAAAGCTAAGCAAACTGTAACATGACTTAAGGGACGGGAACCTGGAAACCCTCTTAATCCATTCGTTCTGTTTTGTAAATTCTTGTTTTTTTACAAACCTGACACAGATGTTTGCTCCCTTCTGCTCCACCGACCCCATCCTTTCCTTGACTTTTGTCTGGGAAAATATCACTCTGACTCTTAGAAAAAGATGGAAAGGAAGAGGTTGACGTGGTCTCTGCTCTTGTTGAGGGACTTGCTTCAGGTTCCTGGTTTTTGGCTTCACCGGACATGAAGCTAAGGTCTTCTGAATCCGCTTCCAAGGGGATCCTCCTATTGGCTGGCTTTCTCTTCTTTGTCGTGCTTATTTGATCACACCCTGAGCAATCAAACCAAAGTCCTGCAGGACACAAATTGGAAATCGCACACATGTGAAATCATACACATATACAGCACATGTACGTACAGACATGAGGCACAGACTCAGACTGCACGTTACATCGGTTCAATTGTAGTCTTTGACTTACAATTCATTTCATGACCGTTCAAAGTTACAAAGGCCCTAAAAAAAGGACTTATGACCCTTTTTCACACTTAATGACCACTGAGGCATCCCGGTAGTCGCATAAACAAAATTTGCTGGACAACTGACTCGTATTTATGATGGTCGCAGTGTCCCGGGGTCACGCGATCGCCTTTGGCGACCGTCAACAAGCCAAGTCAAGGGAGGGGAAAAACAGATTCACTTAACAACTGTGTTGCTAGCTTAACAACCGTAGTGAGGGCAAGAAATAAAACAGGGGCAAGATTCATAATAATAATAATAACAAACCCTTTATTATCAAAGTATAACACGTATACAGTGAAACTGGCTTAGCAACAGACATGTTGGGCTCCATTGTGGTCGTTGAGGATTACCTGGATATCAGATGGTTGTAGCTAACCTTTTTTAAAAAAAAAAAAACAAAAACCAAGATTTTTCTGCTGGAGTTTTGTTTTTTTTTTAAACTTTTGCAAGGCTCCGCTTACTTGCTGAAGGTGCTGCCCCTGTTTCCAGGGCTGTTCAGAGCCTGGGAAATGAAGTGTTCTGGTTTCTGTTTGTTTTAGAATGTTTGCCGTTGCTTCACTTTTCTTTTCTTTTTCCGCCTTTGGGTTTGGGTGCGTGTTTCCCGCGGGGAGAGGTCACCGGAGGACAGAATGCCACGGATACAGGGAAGAAAGGGCTGTCTTTTTCCTAACTGGAGAATTTCAAACTTACACGGTTAGCCGACAGCTGCTTGGCTAAATGCTCTCTTTCTTTCTGTAAACTGTATACTTTTATATTATACGGGTCGTCCTCGACGTACGAGCATAACTGAGTCCAAAATTTCTGTTGCGAAGGGAAACATTTCTTAAGTGAGTTTTGCCCCCATCTGACGTCCTTTTTTACCCCAGTTGCTAAATGAATCACTGCAGTTAAGTTAGGAACAGCACCATTCTGGAGTAGTGTGTTTCCTTAGTTGTGCACTCAAAAGACACACACCTTCTCTCTCGCAGGTTCCTTCCCCTGCCTCCAATCCTGTATGGCTAATACAGGAGCACAACGTTTTCTGATGAATGGAGGTTGGCCTTGTCTTATTCTTTCTAGGCAGTGGCTGCAGAAAAAAAATAAAGGAGACAGTTTGTATTAACAATACACAGATTATATTAAAGGAAGAATAGAATGCCGGTAATTCTCCAGGCCATGGAAAACCGTCATGGAAAGATTTTGGAAGGGTAACAACTCATCCTTGCAATGAAGCTGATCTGTGCATTATGTTATTTTTTTTCTAACAGAAAAAAAGTTAAGCGTGTTACGAACCCAGGGATCGGTTAGGGCCGTGCTCACCGGCAGACTGCAGATACTTCATTGACAGAGTTTTTGGTAAGAGCTCTTGGCTGGATTTTGGAAGACAGGTAGTCCTCAACTTACAAGTCTGAAAGTTGCCAAGTTTGAAGACTCCTGGACTGAACCTTCATTCTCTTAACAGCCAGGACCAGAATGGTGCTGGACAAAGATAAGAGAAGGGAACCAGGGGGGAGGAAGTGTATTTAAGAGAACGTTTACCCTTTTGATCTCACAGGCATGACTGGGCTTCCGTTGATTAAGAATGACTTTGTTCAAAGTCTCTCGGATGCTTTCCTGGAATTCGTGAGTATCTGCAACCTGAAAAGAGAGATAATCTCTTGACATGGGTGGGCAATGACAGCCCCTGTAGGACCTGGGGGCTTCAACTCCCAGAACTGAACATGCTGGGGGTGGCTGAGGAATTCTGGGAGTTGAAGTCCACAGGTCCTAAAGGGGCCACAGCTGCCCATCCCTCTTTTTAACACCATGCACATGTAGCTTTGATTCTCAGGCAGTCCTTGACTTTCAACTACAATTGAGCCCAAAATGTCTATTGCTAAGCAGTTCTTAAGTGAATTTTGCCCCATTTTTTTGTCTTCTTTGCCACCGTTGTTAAATGAATCACTGCAATCGTTAAGCTAGCCACACGGTCGTTAAGTGAACCTGGCTTCCCCATTGACTTTGCTTGTCAGAAAGTCGCAAAAGGGGATCACACAACTTTGGGACGCTGCGACCGTCAGTTGCCAAGCACCTGAATTTTGATCACGTGACCATGGGGATGCTGCAACGGTCGCAAGTGTGAAAAAAGGTCACGGGACACTTTTCAGTGCTGTCATAACTTTGAACAGTTGTAAGTTGAGAACTACCTTTCTGATGAAAATGTGAGATGAGAGCTACACGTCAATGAGTAGTTTGGAAGTTGCTTAATTTAACTTCATGCCCTTGCTCGTTGCCGGGCATCATACAATTCCCAATCCTACACAACCTTTCTAAACTCAAGTTGTTTAATTTAAACAACGCCCTGGTTTTAACACATCTTGGCTGTACCTGCAGGCTATGGAGACACTTCCTCCGGAACTCGCTGTCGGTGCTGCTCGAGACGATTCTGGAAATGGCAGAGGCCATGATGGGTAAAGAACGGGCCAGCTTCTGTTGCTCCTGTGGAGAACAAGGAGTCCTGCCTAGTGCTCACAGCCTCAAAACAAACTGCCAGAAGGTCTTCCTTCCCCCCTTGCAGTGGACAGTAAAACCATGCTTCGGATTTGATTTGATTTTTTTTTTTTTCCCATCAGGATTGGAAAATTGCACATCTCTTTCATGGAAGGACGCTGGGCAGAGTACGAATAAAATAGTAATATTTTATTATAAAATAATAAAATATTCTCCAAGGCGCCTGAAGGCAGGACGAGAAGCAACGGATGGAAACCGATCAAGGAGAGAAGCAACTAAGGAGAAACTTCCTGACAGTGAGAACAATTAACCAGTGGAACAACCCGCCTCCAGAAGCGGTGAATGCTCCAACACTGGAAGTTTTTAAGAAGAGACTGGACAGCCATTTGTCCAAAATGGTACTATAGGTTTCCTGCCTGAGCAGGGGTTGGACTAGATGACCTCCAAGATCCCTTCCAACTTTATTATTATGGATCATCGCACATTCAGCCAGATGTTCAGATTGGATTTGGCATTTTGTCTATCTATCAAGTCCTTACCCAAGACCTGGGATAGGCAGATGTGGATGTTTGATGGTATTACAGATACCATATGTATCTGTAAAGATATCCCTTCCAACTTTATTATTATTATTATTATTATTATTATTATTATTATTATTATTATTATTATTATTAAAACATGGTTGAATGGACGGTTCCACGTCTATCAAGTGCAGGTAACTAGGAGCCAAGGCGGTTTGAAGTACAGTTTTTTTTCCCATGCTAACACTCTACAAGAATCTGAACTAGGAAAAATCAAAGCAAGTTGATGGTAGACAAGCGTCAACGGAATTCAAGGTGGGCTGGACTTGGGTCCTCTCTTGTGGGCACGAAAGGACTCAACACTTATGATGTGCTTGACCCCTCCCTCGGGCTCAGCCTGGTTACCTGTACAACACTGATGTTGGTTAACAGGCAGGGGGAAAGCTAACCAGCCCCGTGGCTGCATTCTCCTCTGTGAGTCCCAAACAAGGCTGCAGTTCCATGCGTGCGTAGAATTACAGAATAACAAGAGTTGGAAGGGATCCTGGAGGTCTTCTAGTCCAACCCCCTGCTCGAACAGGAGACCCCCATTCCAGACAAATAGCTGTCCAGTCTCTTCTTAAAAACCTCCCGTGATGGAGCAACCACGACTTCTGAAGGCAAGCCCTTCCACTCGTTAATCGTTCTCACGGATAGGAAATTTCTTCTGACATAATTTCTCCCCAAATAAACAGGATGTTGGGACCTTGCTCCAGAATTCTTGTAATGGCCCCATCCTCCCCTCCACGGTGAGGGAACTGGCAGCCATGTCAATTTTCTAAATAAATAAATAAAACTCTTCCCCCTTTCTACCCCCAAGGCTTGACCCTCAAGCCTTCCTGGCCTTTGCACCTGGAATACTCTGTGGTGTTGATCCAGGACTTCGTTCACCAGTCCTTGGGTAGCCTTTTTCACAGCCTGCTCATTGCAGAAGAGGATAGGTGAGAGATGGGACAGAATCACCCGCCGGTCCCCTGCAGCATACAAAGAGAAAAAAGGGACAAAAGGTGACACGCAGATGCTAAATACACAAGTGCACAACTTCATATAAGATAGATGAATGGGTGAGCATGTTTCTGGCCTGTGAATATGGGGGTGGGGGGAGAGAGAATGGAAGACAAAGCCTCTGGTGCCAGGGACTGGATTGGATCTTGCAACAAAATTCCTTTCAGTTCCAGAGAATTATAAGTTACTGGCTGGATTGCCCCGTGAAATTCACTTTTGTGAGCTCACTCCCAGTACAGGTAGTCCTTGACTTACAACAGTTCATTTAGTGACACAGCACTGAAAAAAAGTGACTTATGACCGATTTTCACACTTATGACCATTGTAGCATGCCCACGGTCGCTGGATCAAAATTTGGATGCTTGGCAACTGATTCGTATTTACGACGGTCGCCGTGTCCCAGGGTCACGTGATCCCCTTTTGCGACTTCTGATAGGCAAAGTCAATGGGGAAGCCAGATTCACTTAACGACGGTGTTACTAACTTAACAACTGCACTGATTCACTTAACAACTGTGGCAAGAAAGGTCGTAAAATGGGACAAAATGAACAAATATGAATTAAGTGAATTTAAATCAGCAACAGAAGGTATGGGCTCAATTTGTGGTCGTTAAGTCGAGGGCTACCTGTGTTTTGGAAACCGTAGTTTTTATGGCTTGGCCATACTGTGAGGCAGACACTGCAGTTTACTTTAATAAACTTTAGTTAAAACCCCAAATGTCCTAATGCTTAAGGGGCACACTTACACTTTGCTATTTAACTAAGCTATTAACTGGGAGAAAAGCCGAATCATTCTGCCAATCAACTTTTTTTTAGAGGCTTCAAGAACAGCTTCCAGAATAAATGTCTTTTAAAGGCACATCTGTGCAGTGTTTGTATTTTTAGCGGAGGGCACAACGATCCTAAAGCACAGATGGAAGGTTAAATGAAGTTATTCAGTTTCTCTCTGATTTCCCCGACTTAAGCGTTTTCTTATCCCAATTTCTGATTGCTTTCATAGATTCTTGATTAGCCACGGGGCCAAAAGTTTATTCTGTAGCTGCTCTCTTGCCAGTCTCATAAAGTTATTGTATCCAACTGCTATATTAGCGTTCCCCAAGGAATATAGATGTGCATGTGTGTACATATGCTGATGTATGGGTATAAATCTATATTTATATATACAGAAACTGAACGTTGGCTTGTCCTGAAACGGATCCACGTAACCCAGAAAAAAGAAGAGCAGCAGTGTCTGTTCCTGAACATCTGAATCCTGCTGGTGTCTGCTTTGAAGGTTAAACTGGATTTCAGGTCTTGCTGTGTCTGAGAGACAAAATACATTGATTGATTGATTGATTGATTGATCGATCGATTGATACACTGCATTGCATCTTATTTCAGGTAGATAATCAAAGATTCAGAGATGATATCTAAGGAACTGGAGATATATATATATATATATTATAAAATACAGGTAGCCCCCGATTTACAACCATTTGTTTAGTGATTGTTCAAAGTTTCAACAGCACTGAAAATTGTGACTTACACCAAGCTTCGCATTTATGACCATTGCAGCATCCCTGTGGTCACGTGATCAAAATTTGGGCACTTGCAAACTGGCACATATTTACAATGTTTGCAGCATCCTGGGATCGTGTGATCGCCATTTGTGACCTCCCCAGCTGACTTCCGTCAAGCAAACTCGGTGGGGGAAGGCAGATCCGCGTAATGACTGCGTGATTCACTTAATAGTTACAGTGATTCACTTAACAACTGTGGCAAGAAATGTCATAAAATTGGGTGCCATTCAACAGCCTTGCTTGGCAACAGTCTCAACTGTTCAAGCTGTTCAAAGTGATAAATCAAGGACTATCTGTATATTATTATCATGTTAAAATGCATAGCTATGGGTTTAAGATTATAGTTATTCCAAGTTCCATATCTGTATCTGTCTGTCTGTCTCTCTCTCTGTCTCTCTGTCTATCTATCTATCTATCTATCTATCTATCTATCTATCTATCTATATCTGTCTATTTTTATCTATCTATCATCTATCAATCTATGTATCTATCTATGTATCTATCTATCTCCATATCTATCTATCTATCTATCTATCTATCTATCTATCTATCTATCTATCTATCTATCTATCTATCTATCTATATCTGTATCTCTGTCTATATATCTATCTATATCTATATCTTTATCTATCAATCTATCAATCTATCAATCAATCTATCTATCTATCTATCTATCTATCTATCTATCTATCTATCTATCTATCTATCTATCTATCTATCGGTATTTACAACATCCCCCTGGTCACGTGATCAAAATTCAGACGCTTGGTTCATATTTATGACAGTTGCAGCGTCCCCGGGTCACGTGATCCCCTTTTGCAACCTTCTGATCAGCAAAGTCAATGGGGGAAGCCAGTTTCACTTAACAACCGTGTTACCAACTTAACAACTGCACTGATTCACTTAACAACTGTAGCAAGAAGAGTCGTAAAATGGGGCAAACTCAACTTAACAGATGTTTCACTTAACAACACGAATATTGGGCTCAGTTGTGGTTGCAAGTTGAGGACTACCTGTATATACATATGTGTGTGTGTGTGTGTGTGTGTGTGTGTGTGTGTGTGTGTGTGTGTGTGTGTATATATATATATATATATATATATATATATATATATATATATATATACACATACATACATACATACATACATACATACATACATATTCAAAAGCACTTCCAGATTAGGTCTATAGATCCAGCCTCTGAAGAGGTTTCAGAACAACAAACCAGAGTTGCACCACAGATGGTTTGTGGATTCGGCTAGGCTGTGATGCTCTGCGAGTGAGCTCCCTCTCGTTTTACACCTCATGTGCAGAGTTCTCATGAGGCTAAATGAGGCAAGCATCAGACAGTATTTTATTACGCTGAAAATAAACATGTCAGATCACTGTTTTATTTTCAGGTCTGGCTGCTCCCGAGATTGTTCCCGGAAGAACTGCAGATGTAGTTCATTCTTAAATAGCTTTCCCACGTTCAGACTGGATGACTGAAAACTAGTGCCAAATCTGGGTGTTACCTGTTTTGCAAGATGCAGCCGGATTTAGTGTGGCTTGGTAGGCATATTTGCCCCATGATGCTAAGCGGGAAGGATCTTCAAAGAAAGAATACGAGATTTCCTCGGCAGAAAACAGTACGGGCAGCCCAGCTGGATCGTAAAGAAATATATATATTGATGGCTAAGGAAAATTTCCTCTGAAAAGCCAATGAATGATGGACAGAAACTGACTGCTGAGTTTGGTATAAAAAATTGTGAGCATATTGTTTTATAAAACTATATATATATATGTTTTCTGAGGTTTTCACGGGTGTTTGTATGTAGGTCTGGTTATTTGGGTTTTCTCCCGCGTAAAATTGGAAGTGTCTTGGCGACGTTTCGACGAAGTCTCATTCGTCATCTTCAGGCTGCTGTTTTTGGCTTCGTGCTCCTAGAAGCACGAAGCCGAAAACACCAGCCTGAAGATGAGGAATGAGACTTCGTCGAAACGTCGCCAAGACACTTCCAATTTTACGCGGGAGAAAACCCAAATAACCAAAGACCTATATGTATATATATATATAGTTATACGTAGTTTTATATGTATAACTATAGTTATATATAGATATAACTATAAGCTATAATTAATGAAAAGAAGAACCGGGGAGACCAGATATTTGCAAACCCAGACCACCTGCAGGTTAAAGCTTCCCTGGACTCTCTTTTATTGATCACTGATCAGAGCAAAGGATACAGAGGCAGCAAATATCTTTGCAGGCTGGTTAGGGAAAGATTTCTGGCAGGGACACAGGGACACCGCAGGTAGGAGACTCAAGGTACCTGTGAAACCTCTGTCCACTAATTCATCTGGGATGAACAGACTGACTCGTTCACCAGTCACAAGGTGAATGTTATCACACGATGGGATTACAGCCTTGCATTCTGATCTGTGAGGGAGGGAAAGGGGGGGGGGAAGGAAGGAAGGAAGTTAGGAAGGAAGGAAGGAAGGAAGAAGATGGAATGTGAAAGAAAGAAAGAAAGAAAGAAAGAAAGAAAGAAAGAAAGAAAGAAAGAAAGAAAGAAAGAAGGAAGTGGGGTTGATTGGTGATGGAAAACAGAAGGAAATAAATAGTAAATTAATAGCAGATTAATCACAGACTAGATCACCCTTTTGCAATCTAACCCTGTTTGCCCATCATATTTGAAGAGTGACTAATTGAGAGATGAAGTTAAGTCAACTTTCAATTTACATTAAAAAAATCAACCTGTTAACAGTCGCAAACCCTTCATAGATAAATGTGGATTAATTCCTGTGTAGAACAAATTCAGTTATCAGAACAATTTTTTAAAAAATCTTTATTGTATGTTAGTAGAATACAATTAGCGGAATTCCTAGGAGATGAAAGATTATAAAGGAGAATTGGAAGAAAAAGAAAGCATTACATAGCAAGGAAAGGCAGTCACTTTTTTATGTCAATGCATTAATGGCTCAGAACTATTCTGCAGTATGGTGGCATAGAATCTAGAATAGAATAGAGCTGGAAGGGACTTTGGAGGTCTTCTAGTCCAGCCCCCTGCTCAAGCAGGAGAACCTATACCTAGAAATATCAGTATTTTAAAATTACACGTATTTAAGCATCTCATCTTTCTGTTAAAATGCACAGCATGGTTTACAACATCATGAAAACGTAATTTTCAAGGATAAAATTGTGCAAGTATCAAACTTTTTTCTTAAAAAAGCAGCAAATGAAAAGCCAATATAGAATGTTTCCCACCCCCAAGTAAGGTATAAGTCTCAATTCCATAGATTCCAAAGGACAACGCCCTTCGCCAAGTATCAAAATATGAAGAAAAAAGTTTGTGCAAGCAAAGTTCAAGATCCTTTGCTTATCTATGCCAAAGGCAGGGCGCCTCTAGAGCTGACTTGCTTATTTCGATTTATAGCCAGTCTTTGCACCCACATGGCATGCAAGTTCTTAATTAACAGACTAGACACATGATATATAAAAATACAACTATGCAGGCTCCACAGCACAACAAAACTGCTTGAGCAGGGGGTTGAACTGAAAGGTCTTCAAAGTCCTTGTTATTCTGTTACTCTGTTATTCTGTATTCTGTAAAACAAATGTATACACATTCCAAAAATGATGCTAGATTGGTCTTGCAATGTGTTATTTCCCATAGATACGCTTAAACAGAAATAGAACATTGAATAACGGAGTTGGAAGGGACTCTGGGGGTCTTCTGCTCCAAGCTCAACTCAAGCGGGACACCATTTCTGACAAGTTGCTATCCGGTCTCAAATGTGTGGCATATTAAACAGAGAAACAAACGGCGTATTAAATATAGATATATTTTTAGAAATAATGGTGATCGGGCTTTAGGTGTGGATGATGGAATTTAAACAAGGTCATGGGAATCTGCAGTGCAAGTAAGAGGACACGTGTGAGGATGAACTCCGTGTCTCTCCTCATTTTGTTGTTGTTAGTTGCGAAGTCGTGTCCGACCCATCGCGACCCCATGGACAACATTCCTCCAGGTCTTCCTGTCCTCTACCATCTTCTGGAGTCCATTTAAGTTCACACCTACTGCTTCAGTGACTCCATCCAGCCATCTCATTCTCTGTCGTCCCCTTCTTCTATTGCCCTCCATCTTTCCCAGCATTAGGCCCTTCTCCAATGAGTCCTTCCTTCTCATTAGGTGGCCAAAGTATTTGAGTTTCAACTTCAGGATCTGTCCTTCTAAAGAGCAGCCGGGGTTGATCTCCTTTAGGATTGACCGGTTGGATCGCCTTGCAGTCCAGGGGACTCACAGGAGTCTTCTCCAGCACCAGCGTTCAAAGGCCTCCATTCTTTGGCGCTCAGCCTTTCTTATGGTCCAACTTTCACAGCCATACATTGCAACTGGGAAAACCATGGCCTTGACTATACGCACTTTTGTTGGCAGGGTGATGTCTCTGCTTTTTAGTATGCTGTCTAGAAGCTTGTTACAAAAACCAGGCCACCAACCTTTTGCTTCCACATCCAACAGGGGGCAATGCTGTTTAGGAAACTCTTTTTAAGCATCCTCTTTCAAATCATGGCAACCCCTATTTCTGCAGCTACAGGTAGACTTACGGCTACAATTCATCCCAAGATGTCTGTTGCTAAGCGAGACGGTGGTTAAATGAGTTTTACCCCATTTTACCACCTTTCTCACCACAGCTGTTCACTGAATCGCTGAAGTTTTTAAGTTAGTTATGCGCTTGTTAAGCAAATCCAGTTTCCCCGTTGACTCGGCTTGTTAGAAGGTCGCAAAAGGGGATCACCTGACCCCAGGAGACACTGCAACCGTCATAAGTACATGTCAGTTGCCAAGCGTCTGAATTTTGATCACGTGACTGCAATGGTCATTAAGTGTGAAAGATGGCCATGACACTTTTTTCAGTGCCGTTGTAACTTCAAGCAGTCACTAAAGGAATGGTTGTAAGTCAAGGTCTACTTGTAGATGGGGTTGGATGCAGCCAGCTACTGAGTCCCTGGAAAAGGCGCCGATTGTCCCAGGGATAAGATATTGTAATTTATTTGTCTACACACAGTAACTAGGAATTGGCCTCCAACCAATGGCAAACTAATTAATCTGGCTGGTTTAGGATGCATAAACCCAACTTATCCTTATTAACGACTAACAAATTTCAAACTAATTAGACATGCTCAAACTAGAATCGTCTACATCTTGACAATAAATAAATAAATTCCCCCCCCCCCTCCAGCTAGTCAGATCCCAGGAACAAATGCTGGGCACCATTTCCACAATCTGGTTTTAAGGATGACCTTGTATTTATAACTACTCCATCAATCAGCCTCTGGAGGAGAAATTCTTTCCCCCAAACCGCTTACCTCATAAAATGTCTCCCATCAGTAAGTAACGTGGTTCCATCTGGCAAACATGTGCTGACTTTCCCTTCTGGGCTGAAGCACAGAAGGTGGAGATGTTGCAAAGTCACTGCATTTATCATAATTATAAATGAGAACACCCATTAAACCACAAGGAACAGCCTTTATGTTGTCCCCTTGAATTCACTGCGCTTCCAGTTGCTGTTGCAATCAAAGCTTTACATATCACAAGACATCGTGCAGGTTTGTGTGGATGCTGACTTAATGCTTGGGTAAATCTGCCCAGTTGTGTCTTATGTAACAAACCATGGTCAAACAAGCCATGGATTCGTTCAAGGTGCGGTCCAGGCAAAAGGAACTATTGAAAACATGCCCAAAGCATAAGCTCTATGTCAGTGGTTCTCAACCTTTCTAATGCCGCGACCCCATAATACAGTTCCCCATGTTGTGGTGACCCCCAACCACTTATACATCACTGGGTGCCAGGGGCGTGGCCAAAGAAAAGGGGAAAAAAAATGCCGGACTGCGTTGTTTGGCGACCCCCGTGAAATGGTCGTTCGACCCCAAATGGGGTCCCGACCCACAGGTTGAGAACCACTGCTCTATGTGGTTTTAGAGAAGCATAGTGACTTAAAGATAATCCTTGACTTACAATCACAATTTTGAACATGTGACCGTGGGGATGCTACAGGGGTCCTAAGTGTGAAAAACACTCATAGATCACTTTTTTCAATGCCAACGTGTCTTTGAATGGTCCCTAAACAAATGTTGTAAGTCGAGAACTACTTGTATCTGTAAAATCCAAGATTGTTGCACTTAAACCCATGCGCCTTTTAATCTATAGATGTAAAATGGCCACTGCATTGGCCTTGGATGGTACTTCAAATGATTTATCTTGGAGGTAAATGCCCACCACAAATATTGCGAGGCCAGGTGGTTCCGTGCCAGATATTCTCTTTCAGGTGATGCACTTCCTGTTTCTTCTTCTTAATTATGCATTAAGTAGCCGTGCTAATGCTAGCAGATGTTTAATGACTAAAATCTCTGTCAGTTTCCCAGAAGGAGTACAAGGTTACCATCGGTTCACCCGCCAGACAGAGATCATCTTAATAAGTGGCTGGGCTTTAAAACTGCAAAACTGAGTTCTAAGTAATGCTGGGCAAGACTTTGAATGAGTCTTTAACAACTCATTTGTTACAATTTGGGAGCAGGAGTGAGCTGGAAAAGGGAAAAATCTTTTACTCCTGGAACTGAAAGGGAGAGCAAAAGTCTTAGTTAGCAGGGGGACTAATTTACCTTTACGGGGAACAGGTTATATGGCAGTCCTCAGTTTACAACCATTCGTTCAGCAACTAATCAACATGAAGACGACACTGGAAAAAGTGAATTAGGACTGGTCCTCACTTGATATCTATCCACAGTATCTATCTATCTATCTATCTATCTATCTATCTATCTATCTATCTATCTATCTATCTATCTATCACTATTTATCTATCTGTCTGACTGTTTGTCTGTCTGTCTATCTTTAATCTATCCACTTATAACTATCTGTCTATCTATCTAGCTATAACTATCATCTACCTATCTCTCTATCTATCTATTTATAATCTATCCACCTATAACTATCTATCTATCTATCTATCTATCTATCTATCTATCTATCTATCTATCTATCTATCTATCTATCTATCTATCTATCTACCTACCTACCTACCTACCTACCTACCTACCTACCTACCTACAACTATCATCTACCTATCTCTCTATTTATAATCTATCCACCTATAACTATCTTATCTATCTATCTATCTATCTATCTATCTATCTATCTATCTATCTATCTACCTACCTACCTACCTACCTACCTACCTATCATCTGTCTATCTATCTATCTATCTATCTATCTATCTATCTATCTATCTATCTATCTATAATCTATCCACCTATAACTATCTCTCTCTATCTCTCTCTCTCTTTATAATCTATCCACCTATTACTATCATATCTATCTATCTATCTATCTATCTATCTATCTATCTATCTATCTATTATCTATCTATCTATCTATCTATCTATCTATCTATCTATCTATCTATCTATCGCTTACCTATCAAATTTATTGGCCACCCATTTTACCATTAAAAATACATCTACATTAAAACCTGGATAAATTAAAACCAGAGATTAACATCCAGGGCACATGGGGAGGGTGGGGGTGGAATAGGGGAGAGTGGGATCTGTTGTTACTCAATCAGCCACTTCCACTATACTGTTCCCCAGGGGGCCCCCACACCAATTTAAGTCCTTACAAAAGGCTAGGAAGGTTGCAACTTTCTCAGCCAGCTTCAGACCAGCAAAGTCAGTTCTGACCACAATTGAGGCCAGGATTTCCGTCATTAAGCAAGACGGTTGTTCAAGGTGTAGCAAGCACCCAATTTTATGACCATTTTTGTCCCAAAGCTGACACCAAGAGAAAAAACTTGGAAGAAATAAAGGGGTGTACTCCTCCCCATTTCCCCCCCCCAAAACAAACCTCATGATTAAGGATGTTCCAGAACCACAGAATGTATAAGTATACTGTGTAGCTGGAAAGAAAAATAGATAGATGGATATGAATCATTTGTTCTATTTAGTCTCATAGCTCCAGTCAGAATCTGGCTTACTAGAGTTTCCAGACAGAACATTTTTTTGCAAAGGTCCTTTAAAAAAAAAGACATAGGTTTTATTTTCCTATAAGTCCCCCTTCTTAAATCATATAATGATGATATTGTATTTAATAATAGTCAAGGTTTACCATGAAGAGAAAATGTTTTAAGGGACTGCCAAAATTACAGAGGAGAGATACATTTCATTTCTCTTTCCCCAAACCTGGAATTAAATTCCTTCTGTTACTCTTGTTTTAAGCCGTGTTTAATGATTGTCTTTTCATATCGAGTCTTTGAACAATATATATATTTATTTATATGATTTAATTGTATTACTCTACAGCTGCCAGTATAACTTTGTAGATGTTTACTTACCTATATGTCTCAGCGGAGATGTTGCCGTTAACTTTTACACAGTAATGAAACTTGATCTATAAAAACAGAGGAGCAGAAAATCAACAACTCACGAAATAAGAAATATAGGAAGTGATCTTAATAGGGAATCAGTCTTCATATTGGTACACTTTGTAGATAGGTAGTCCTCGGTATCCCAAAATGCACTCCCAGATCCAAGTTACACTCTGAAAGTATTAGCAAAACTGTGGTTTAGTGGGATGTGACGCTAACCAGCATATGTTGCATCAAATCCCACAGATGTAGTCATCCATCATGACCACTAGAGTTTGATAAGATTTGCCCACTTTACTAAATAAAATTATTTAAAAATAGCAGAGACAGGTTGAGGCTGGATCTGGTAACCAAGTCGCTTCAGAGATAAAGACACAGAATTTTCTCTTCCTATGCAGCTTCTTAAAACCCTTGGCAGATTTTAAGCTGGAAAGTAATCATTTGGTCCCGAGGAAACCTGGAACGTGATATTTAGCAAATCACACTGCAGGGGAATCGCTTACTGTGGTGTGCATGAGGCTGGTCCTATGGATGAACTGTTTCAATGTGGCACTGTCCTCCTTGAGGACTTCAGATTTCTCATACAGCTGAAAAGTCCAAAGAGAGAGAAAGTTAATGTGTCCTTTTCAAAACCTTTAACTGAAGTTTTAGTGCGTCCCTTCAGTCATTCAAACGTTTCCATTGATTTCTTACCCATCTCCTCAGCATGGCCACCAAATCCAAAGCTTTAACGTGAACACCAAGGTAAAGGAAAATATATTTTGTAATGCGGTGACCAGTTTTGGTCACCCCATGAACAAAAAAGATGTTGAGATTTTGGAAAAAGTGCAGAGAAGAGCAACTAGGATGATCAAAGGCCTGGGGACTCAAACATATGAAGAACGGTTGCAGGATTTGGGTTAGACACCTTGACAATTTTAAGGCATGTGGACTTCAAGTCCCAGAATTCCACAGCCAGCAATTGTCAAGGTTGAGAAACACTGGGTTAGAGAAAAGAAGGACATGATAACAACATTCCAGTATTTGAGGGGCTGCCACAAAGAAGAGGCAGTCAAGCTATTCTCCAAAGCACCCAAAGGCAGGACAAGAAGCAACGGATGGAAGCTAATCAAGGAGAGAAGCAACCTGGAATTAAGGAGAAATTTCCTGACAGAACAATCAACAGGCTTGCCTTCAGGAGTTGTAGGTGCTTCATCACTTTAAGAAAAAACTGGAGAGCCACCTGTCTGAAATGGCATAGGGTCTCCTGCTTGAGCAAGGGGCTGGACTAGTATAGGCTAACCTGAAAGGAAAGTTGAAAAGGCATGGTATGCAGAGATTCATGAGGACACCCTCTTCCATGCAGGACGCCACTCTGGCAGAAAGGCAATAAGCCTTGTACTTCTGTGGAAGGAAAAATTGAGTGTCGTGAGACAAACACTGCAAGACATATACAGAATTCCTGCTCTCCAAAGAACAGGCATGAATACTTAAGATTCCCTTCTATCGGTTGATACAAGAAAGCAAGCTGCAGCAAAGCGATTATATCAGCCTTTTAATATACAAGTAGTCCTCGACTTACAATGATTTATTTGGTGAATGTTTGAAGTTACAATGGCACCAAAAAAGTGGTCCTTGCGCTTAGGACCATCACAGTATCCTCATGATCATGTGATGAAGATGTGGGCACTTGGCAACTGGCATATACTTATTTCCCAGCTGGCCTCTGACAAGCAAGGAGAAGCTGGATTCGCTTAATGACCATGTGATTCACTTAAAAACTGCAATGATTTGCTTAACAACGTGGCAGTGAAGGTCATAAAATCGGCTGCAACCCACTTTAACAACCACCCTGCTTAGCAACAGCAGTTCTAGGCTAGATTGGTCTGATCCACCAAAATCACTTTTAAAATCTCAAATAATATTAATTATTTGAGCTAATTATGGTTCTAAGTCCAGGAGTATCTGTATACATGCAAACACACACATATACACACACTTTTTGTTTAACTGTATTAGCTGCCCAACTCAAAAACGTTAATCAAAAGATATTAATTAGCCAAGATGTAATGTGGCATTTTCCAGTTGATATTCTGAAAAATGCCTGTAGAGGAAAAAAATCATGAAATGGTTGTATGAATAAATCAGAAGGAAACTGGGAACACTGTTTCTGGCTAACAAATTTTATGACAAAGCATAAGCTTTCATGAAGTGAGCTGCAGCTCATAAAAGCTTAGGCCTTTTATTAAAATTTGTTGAAAAGGACTATCAGACTCCTCCTGATTTGGGATTAATGTTGACTAACCTGCCTCTCCTCCTACAATGTCAACAATGTCCATTCAGGTATCTCAGAACCCATCTATTCCTGTTCCTATATTGCACAGCTTGTATTGTATTGTATTATTACACAGCTCTTTTCAAAAAAAGTATGTAAGTTAAAAAAAAACACAAAACAGAAATTAATGAGGTCTCCATCTTCTTGCTTTAAAAGTTTATCAATTTCTTTAATGTAGCAGAGCTCTTATTCTGATTCTTGAGGGCAACTTCATTATGAGGAAACCACTCAAAGGCAATAGAATCTCCTCAGGATGACTCAAGAAATATTCAGAAGTTGGGCAAATTCATATGTCTATTAAATCCATAATAAGATTTGTTTTGTTTTGGGAAAACCAGGTCAAAATGTATTAGTGGCTAAGTGCTGTGAGAACTGAATGTTGGGCTGGATTAGCTCTGATCCACCAAAAGTACTCCTTAAATCTCAAATAATGTTAAAATATTTACCTTTGAATGTTAGGTCATTCAAGATTTTGTGGCACAAATCACCTTTTGCAGCAACTGCATGGAACAAATCAAAGAACCACTGTTATTAATTTTGTTTAAATCTGTGGGGAGGCTACAATTGAGCTGTATTATTTGTGCTCAACACGTTGCAGGAACATAAACTTATACCTGAAGTTTATTTATTGGGGATTGCATGTTGATTTTTAGTTTCCTGAAAAATAACTGCTCTGAAAGAAATATAAATCTGACTATGCTCACTAATTGCAGCACAGTGGGACTGGTTCACACGCTGGGGAAAATCTTGAACGTCCAAAGAAATAACGATTGTTCCTTCGAGCATGGAAGATCTTTCCAACTGTTTCCCCTTTTTACCCTGAAGTTGAATGATCAGAAATTCTAAAATCTGAAATGAAAGAAAGGGCTTGGTAAAATAGCAGACAAAATTTGTAAGCATCATATTCTGGCTTGAGAAACAACAGTGTTCCTTATGTCTTCATTTGAACCTCAAATCTGAAAGTACAATGGTCCCTGAAAATGGGAGGCCAAGTGGACTGGTGATGCTAAAAATTGAACAATAAATGAAGGCATCAGTTTTGCTGGTGTTTGGCTACCCTTGCCTGTGGGCATTTTTTAATGTTCCAATCTTAGATCAGCTCTACGATTTTGGATTTCTTTAACCATTTTTTCCTTATATCATATTGATTCCATTTTGTGTAGTATGCTAGCCAACTAGCAGATTTCTAACTAATTTCCCAAATATGCCTTCCTTCTAAAAGATGTGAAAAAACGTTTTTTGTTATTGCTTAGCTGTTTTTTAAATTCAGTCTGTCTCCATCCAGCTCCTTATTCTTACAGAATTATTACTGGGGGTGGGGGGGGTGTTATTTGGTTGGCTTGCTTCCTTAAAACCATTGAATTATAAGGTGCTCTTAATCATGTTGGAAAATGGAAAGTAGCGAACAAGGGAAGCGAACCCTATAGAATAAGTGTTGCATAAACAACAGGAAATAAAGAATGCTTGAGAAAAACTTTGGCAAAACTCACAGGAAGTAAAATGTGAATTGAAATAGCTCCTTGCAATCCTAGCAACACTATTTTCTGTTTCACAAAAAAGTTGCTTCAAGTAGGAAATTATCATAATGCCTAAATTCATTGTCATTCCATGTTTTGATTTCTTTTTAACAGGGATGAAAGGATGCAATGGATGCATCGTTAAATTTATTTTAATACAAGATGGAAACAACCTGGATAAGTCTTGGAGAAATTCAGTCAGAAGTACTTTGTCACATTTTGCTTCATGGAATTATTCCTTGACTTACAACCGTTCGTTTAGCGCAGTGGTTCTCAACCTATGGGTGGGGTCGAACGACCATTTCACGGGGGTCACCAAACAACGCAGTCCGCCATTTTTTTCCCCCTTTTTCTTAGCTGTGCTACTCCCTTTTATTCTATTGGCTTTTGAAAGCCAATGGAATAGACTCCCTTGAATAGAGTCTAATTCTATTGGCTTTCAAAAGCCAATAGGAATTGTCCAGGTTGTCTCTGCCCTGCTGAGCCTGCCAAAAGTCCCATTCTGCAAATGGTGCTGCACCAGTTGAGTAGTCCTCGACTTACGACTGGTTGAGTAGTCCTTGACTTATGACCGGTTGGGGGTCGCGGCATTAAAAAGGTTGAGAACCACTGGTTTAGCACCTGTTCAACATTAGGATGGCACTGATAAAAGTGACTTTTGACTATCCTCACAGTGGCCCTCTAGTCACATTATCAAAATTTATGTATGTATTTATGATGGTTACAACATTCCAGGGCCACATGATCACCATTTTTAACATTCACAGCTGACTTCTGATAAGCAAAGTCAATGGGAGAAGCAGGATTCGTTTTATGGCCAAATAAAAAGTGGTGATTTGCTTAATAACCATAGCAAAAGAGATCATAAAGTCAGACCCAATTCATTGAACCACCATCTCGCTTAGCAACTGAAAGTCTAGTGCCAATTGTAGTCATAAAACTAACTGTAGTTAAGAAGCTATAGACCAGTGGTTCTCAACCTTTCTAATGCCGTGACCCCATAATACAGTTCCCCATGTTGTGGTGGTGACCCCCAAGTGGGTGTGGCCATCAATAAGAGAGAGTAGGACAGCTAGGGAAAAGGGAAAAAAATGGCGGACAGTGTGGTTTGGCGACCCCCGTGAAATGGTCGTTCGACCCCAAATGGGGTCCCAACCCACAGGTTGAGAACCACTGCTATAGACAATCATAGGTGATTGCTTGACCGAAGAGACAAATCAAGTGACGATGACAGGAAGCTTCAGGACTATGAAACAATGGGATAAATCAGGGGTTACCGAAGAGATCCTAAAAGAAGGCACATTTCCCATTTCTTTTTTTAAAAAAAATAATTGGTACTGTGGCACATGGACGGATTTAATTTCCTCCCGTTGAAAGTCTACCTCCAGCAGCTGTTAGCCACGTTCAGTAGGAAAGCACGGAGTTGTGTGCTGACATCAATAAGGATAAATAATGCATTACACTAATGTATGTGGTAATTGTTAAAATTAAGAAAGATACAGCTGTACAGCTGGTCTGGAATCCATGCCCTCAATATCTCTTATTATTCCTGACTATGATTCAGAATGGCTAAGGCTAATGAGAGGTGTAGCTCCAGAGCAGTGGTTCTCCACCTGTGGGTCGGGACCCCATTTGGGGTCGAACGACCATTTCACGGGGGTGGCCAAACAACGCAGTCCGCCATTTTTTCCCCCCTTTTCCTTAGCTGTGCTACTCCCTTTTATTCTATTGGCTTTTGAAAGCCAATAGAATAGACTCTCTTGAATAGAGTCTAATTCTATTGGCTTTCAAAAGCCAATAGGAATTGTCCAGGCTGTCTCTGCCCTGCTGAGCCCGCCAAAAGTCCCATTCTGCAAACGGTGCTGCACCAGTTGAGTAGTCCTCGACTTACGACCGGTTGAGTAGTCCTCGACTTACGACCGGTTGGGGGGTCGCGGCATTAAAAAGGTTGAGAACCACTGCTCCAGAGTATGAAGAGAATGTTTTGGTCTTCAATCTTTGTTATGTTTAAAGGCGTCAATCTCATATCAATACTTTTTACCTCTATTTTATCTGTGAATACTTTTTAAACTAAGTTAGGGCATTGACTTACTAATTCCAGTGCTGTATTTGGAGGGCTGCGATTCTTGGTTACTTGAGAATTTATGTTAGTTTATTCTCAGCAAAAGGGAACAGGGATCTCAGTCTTTCCTGCTAGCTATAAGCTTCCTTGCCTTATTAAAAAAATCTGTTTTTTTTTTCTTCCTTAAGAGGGAGGAATGAGTCTTGTGATATTCAGTGAGGCATCCCCAGACTTGTTTTCTAGTCACTTTTAAGATGAATGAAGAGGTCAAGATCTAGGATAGGCTGTTCCACTGTTAAAATAAGATGTATAGCACCAAGAACTCTATCTTTACATTATCCAGATGTTTTGAGAGATGTGGAACTGGTTTGGATGCACAGGGGAAAATAAACACTTTGTTCCAGACTGCCTGACATGACCAAAGAAGGATAGCCAGTCACAGCTTGCAAACTGCGTATCTGGTTTCCCAATGTCTAAACAGGAGAAATTCTGTACAACCCAGAAGCTATTATCTTCTGTTTGCCTTTTGATCATATAATTAATCAAGAGAAGTAAGGTTGTTCTTAATGTGCTTATGCTGGCCATCTGGTTAGACAAGGTGATGGCTTTTTTAAGGAAGAGAAGAATCTACCTCTGGCAAAAATATTTACAACGGGTCAGAATTGGTTACTTAAAGCGGATTACCACTGGGGCTGCTTCATATTGTTATTGTTATTACTGGTCCATCATACTGTACCGACCACTCCAGGGCTGAATTGAAAACAAAAGGGCTATATTCATCTTGTTTGATCTAATAAGGCACCAGGCTAGAAAGCAGGAGACAGTGAGTTCAAATTCTGCCGTAGCTATAAAAACCGGCTGGGTGACTTTGGACGATCACTCTCTTTCTCGGCCGGGTTCATCTTACAAAATTGTTGTTGTGGGGAAAATAAGAAGAGAAAGGTGTGTTGGATGTGTTCTCCACCTTGAGTTATTTGTAAAAATAATAAAGGCGGGAACAAATTATATGCACGCTAATTTATATTGCTGATTAGTATTAGTCCTTGACTTATGAACACAGTTGGGACAGGAATGTCCATTACTGGAGGATAAGGCTGTTACGTGAGTTATCATGTGACCATACCCAATTTAACAACTTTTTTTTTTTGCTGCAGTGGTTAAACGAATCCAGCTTCTCCTATTGACTTTGCTTGTTAGAAGTTAGCTGAGAAGGTTATAAATGGGATGCTGGAACAGTTGTAAATACCAGTACATACCAGTTACCAAATGCCCAAATCGTAATTATATGAATGTGGGGATACTGCTCAGTGTGAGAACCAGTCGTAAGTCCTTTTTTCAGCGCTCTTGTAACTTCGAAGTCACTAAAGAAATAATCATAAGTTGAGATCAATAAGCCATTGACAAACTTTGCTATAAATAATAAGTGCAATGCACAACAAGCAGACTTTGTAACTAAGTAGGACAAATAAGAAGGAAAAGAAAGCAGAATGGCTGTGTTCATTAACAATTCTGTACCCCAAGAGACAAATTATATTTTTACTTAATTGATGGTTTGCAAATACACAGTCTATGATTCCACAACATTCTAAACCACAAATTATGCATCCTCATTATCGTTGCCCAACCCAGCCCACATGTACTTGTGAAATTACACAATGGCCAATGATTCTTTGAAAAATCTAGACTGGATCCAGCACCAAACTGGACCACATAACTGCCACCATGAATTTTAAATCAATAGAAGTGATATTGGATTGTGATCCATCTGGATTATTTATAGAATACCTGGTATTATTTTTTTAAATAAATTTTTGTTAGGAGAAGCATTGGCCTACTTCAAATGCTACCGAAGAGATACTTGGCTTAATATCTAGGTTAGCTAGCTGAAATTCAAACAAGAACCTTGGTTCACGAACTCTTGCTTAAAACAAGTCAAGTTTCCAAAGTGAAAGGGCAAAGTGTGATGTTCAGTCTGAGGTTCGTTAACAGGTCTACAAGCATACGTATGAGTATTATGTATCTATGTACATGTTTATATAAATGTTGATGTGTGGATGTTGGTATATATATTCATGTGCATCTATCTATACATGTATGCCTACACATGAATGTAATATACACAAGTATGTATATATTACATGTATGTGGTATGTGATAAACATATATATGGATACATGTATGCAGGGTTTTTTTCTCATAGAACATCTAGAACGGAGTTCCGGCACCTTTTTTGGATGGAACCTTGTAGGGTAGGCAAGGCGGGTTGTATGATGTGTGTGAGTTCCAGCATTTTTTTTTTTACAAAAAAAAAAGCACTGCATGTGTGCACATGTGTGTGGGGGGAGTGTCTATATATGTATGTGTGTGCATATATGTGAGTGCATGTGTCTATATCTATGTGAATATATATCTATATGAATATATATCTATGTGAATGTGTGTGTATATATATATATATATATATATATATATATATATATATCTGATCTATATATCTATATGTCCATGACTATACCTATATGTGACTATATCTATATCTATATGTGACTATATCTATATGTCTATATCTATATAGCCATATGTCTATATCTATATAGCCATATGTGGTATAGATGTGTTTGTCAGTGTATCTAAAAACAGGTATGTGTCACTAATATTTCTGTGCGTGTGCGTGTGCGTGTGCGTGCGTGTGAGAGAGAGATACGCGCGCGCCCCCCACAGGCGCGCCCCCCCCCAAGCGCGCACCATCTGGACGGCCGAGCCCGCTTCCCCCTTCATGGCTAGGCTTGCTTTTCTCGCCCAGCTTCGCCTCAGGGTGCGCGCGCACCTGCGCCCTCCCCTTCTCCGCCTTTCCTCCCCTAGCTCCCCTCACCCTGCGCGCGCCCCCGCCTTCCCGCCAAATCTCGCATCGCTTCCCTCAGGCGGCGTCTTCTAGCTCCTTTTCTTTGAGCTCCATTTTTTTTCCCTTCCTTTTCCCCCTCCTCCCCATTCCCCAAGGGTAAATAATAGCAAATATAATCATGGAATTACCAGGAATGGTTGCATCCAGACCCATTGTATTTATTACTTTTTTTAAAAAAAATATTGTTATTCCTATGTGCCTTTCTGAAGCTGCCCCGTTTCTGGAGGGCTCAAGTGGAGCGGAAATTAGCTTAAAGAAACCCTTGAAATAGACCCCACCAGACAGCAGAGAATGGCTATCCTGAGGAAGGAGGCATAAAATTAAAATAGAATAGAGGGAAGGGGAGTGGAATGGAACAGAATAGAATAGAGAATGAAATATAGAGTAGAATAGAATAAAATATAGAATATAGAGTATAGAATAAGAATAGAATATGATAGAGTAAAATAGAGAAATAGACTAGAATATAGGGTAAAATAGAATAGAATTGAATAAAATATAGAATGGAATATGGAATAGAATGGAATGAAAGAATGGAATCAAAATGGAATAGAATAGAATATAGAGTAAAATATAGAATGGAATATAGAATAGAATAGTAAAATAGAATAAATATAGAATAGAATATAGAGTAAAATATAGAATACAAATAGAGAAGTACGATATAGAGTAAACTAGAGAAATAGACTAGAATATAGGGTAAAATATAGAATAGAATTGAGTAAAATATAGAATGGAATATGGAATAGAATAGGAATAAAGAATAGGATGGAATGGAAGAATGGAATCAGAATAGAATGGAATGGAATAGAATAGAATAGCATTACAGAATAGAATAGAATAGAATAGAATAGAATAGAATAGAATACCAGCCAAGTGTGATTAGACACACAAGGAATTTATCTCTGGTGCAGTTATTAAGTTTATTGGCTGTCTATCTTACCACAGGGCAAGATCCCTCCCTGGGGGAGCCCATAGCACCATCAGAACCCAGGACCCTCCAGGCTCACCTAAAGGGGGGCAGAAGAGGGGCCATTTCAGTCTTGGGGAGGAAAGAGTGCCCAAGGGCAGAGGCCACAACTGAGAAGGCTCATTCCTGGCTCCAGTCAGGTGGCCCTGCTTGATTGAGAGGACCTGAAATGCCACAGGACACAGACCATGACCCTCAAATTACCAGGCCATGGGCCCTGGAGGGCTTTATAGCAAGCAGCAACTTCTATTGCACCCCAAATTAAACAAATCACTGCTGTTGTTAACTTTACCTATAGGGGATTGCATGTTTGTTTATATTTCATATTTCTTAACTGCCCATCTCTTTTCACTCCCTTATGTTATACAAATACAGGTACGCTCGACCGACAACTACAATTGGGACCAGAATTTCCATTTCGAAGCAAGGCGCTTCTTAAGTGAGTCATGCCCCAATTTACAGCCTTTTATGTCATGGTTCCTAATTGAATCACTGCAGTTATTAAGTGGATCAACGGTTGTTAAGCAAAATTCGGCTTTCCCTATTGATTTCACTTGTCAGAAGCTATCTGGGAAGGTTGCAAAAGGTGGATTACATGACTCCAGGATGCTGCAATTTTGGTAAGTATATGGCGGTTGCCAGCTGCCTGAATTTTGATCATGTGACCATGGGGATGCTGCAGCGGTCATAAGTGCGAGGACCAGTTGTCAGTCACTTTTTTTCAGGGCCATTGTGACTGAAAGGTCACTAAAATGGTTGTAAGTCAAGGACTACCTTTAAAACTTACTGTGGTTTTATAATGGTAGTTAAGATTTTTCAAACTCTGTTCAAACTTGACTATGTATGCAAAATAATTTGATGATACCTAACTGCCGGGTTTGCAAGAAATTATATGTTTAGTGCAGCCTGAGCTGTGTGGGTAATGTCTAAAATTTGCAGGATTGCATATCAATGCTGTGGGAATTCAGGAAAGGATAGTCTTGAATTGTAATATAACTGCTTAGATCTGATGACACGATATCTTGGGTTGATTTTGTTAATTGCATGACTCAGGAGAGTTGGAAATTCAAAGGAACAGAAAAACACAAGTAGGTACTAAGAAAAAGTTGATCCATAAATCCAAAATTGGAACATAAGTAGCTGTCTTCTAAATTAGTGCAATATTATCTACTTTAGTAGAATATTTTTCAATTATCTGTAGCAGAGAGAGATTGTGTTTATCCATCAGACTAAGCCATATTTTGCTTGTCCATGGTTTGCTGAAGAAGCCATGGTTTCTTGGGTTACAAACATCAAAGGCTAAGTTCACACACTCAAGGAAAACAAAAGCAAAGCAACATGTTATATAATTTGCCCTCACTATGAACTGCTAGACTGTGATTTGATGCTGGGTTTTGAATGGAAACCAGGACTAAACCCTGCCAATTGCAATTTGTAACAAATTAAGCATACACTGGGAGAGGATTCAATAAACGACGCAGAGATTTATTTTGCTCATTCTGATGCTGTTCATTTAGTATTATGTTTAAAGAAAGAAAACAATTCAGTACATAAAACATACAAAATGTGAGAGGGAAACCAGAACAAATTCCTAGCAGCTGGACTAATAATTTCCTTTAAGAAAAAAAGACTTTTCACATTCTAATAGCCTTATAATTTGTTTTGATTCATTTGAAATTAAAATGCAGCTAAAAATGCTTTTTGAAACTTGTCCATATAGATCAGGGGTGTCAAACTGCCGGCCCACGGGCCGGGTGCATCATAGCAAAACCACGCTCACTCCATTGCCAGCAATGGGAAAAAAGTCGCGATACGTTATGACATCACATGATGTTGCAAGTTTGACACCCCTGATATAGATTGTCCTGGTCTTATGTTTAGCGACCATTCTAAGTTACAATAGCACTGAAAAAAATTACGTAGCAAAGGGCCTCACACTTATGACTGTCACAGCATCTGCATAAATTCATGAACAAATTTGGGTGCTTGGCAACCAGTATGTATTTACAACAGTTGCAACATCCTGAGGTCATATGATCAACACTTCCAACCAGTCAGATTGTGCTGTTTGCAGTACTAGTGTTATTGACCTTACGGTTGTACTTATTTTTACTTTTAAAAATTCTCCATACCATCCAAGAAAGAAAGCTATGATGAATTAAAAAATTGTGCCATATTTATTTATTAAATATACATTTATATAGCTACTCATCTCACATAGTGACTCTAATGTCCCCATTTAAAGATTTTAGTGATATAATTGACCATAAGATTTCTTAAAATTTTAGGTCAGCAGACTATTACTTGAGTGGTATAAATCTCATGAGAAATGTACCTGGAGTATCAGAGCAATAGAATTATTAAAACATGGCCTAAAATGTTTGAATAGAGAAAAAAGAGACACACATGGAATAGGAGGAAATACATCTTATTTCAAACTCTTAGGAACACATCCTGAATCTCTCTTTAATCTGACATTTTGAATTGGCAGTTCTTAGTGCGAGGCCCACGCATGTTCATGGGGGCTGAGATTGGCACAGTTCTTTAACAAATGCGTGCACATTTTGTTTTTGGGCTGTATACCATGTAACTAAAAGGATGTCTGCAACTATTTATCCTTTATCAATTCTTATGCTTATGGAAAATAGGAAGATGGAGAGGAAGGGCTATAAAATAACCTTGCTGGCAGGAGAATTTTTTTTTTTAAAACTCATTTTGTTGTCCTTGTATAACATGTTAGACATATAATTGTCCTTTCCCAGCCTATAGGTGTAGGAACCAATTGCTACAATATAAGACGAGAGCAAGTTTCCTTCCAGTTATAAATCTGAATTAGCTTTTTGCTCTCTCCCTACAAAAGTTCCTTCCTGTGCAGCTATTATGGGGGTGGGTTTGGGAAGAGGAAATTGCCTTGCCTTGCCCCCCTCTAGCATTGATACAGACTGATAATCATCCTCCAGGGTTTTTGCCAGGAGGTTCCCCAGCCCTGCTTAGAAACATTGGAAATGTCTTTCCTGCATACAAAGTAGATGATTTAGCACAGAGTTAACTATGACTGAATAACAAAACACATTTCTTTGTGTTCTTTATTCCAGGTGGGCCACACATTGCTTTCCATCCTACTGCTGAATTTAGTAACACCGGGCTGGTCAAACTGCAGTGTAAAGCAGATCAGATAGCACACATACATACCCTTCTCAGTCTCTTTGGAAGCTGCTGTCAGCTCCTCGTGACTTGGTCTGGACCATGGCTTCTTCCGAGCTCTGGGCAATCGACTATGAAATTTATGGGGAAGTCCAAGGTGAGTCTAGATTTTATTTCCTCCCTTTGTCTTATTCTTGCACTACTTGCTAAGGATTTTTGTATACTGATACTGTTGCTTGGCTTTCCAGCGGATTGCTCTGCAAATAGTACAGTCCTTGAAATAAGATGCCTGCAGTCTGCTTGTCCAACTGCAGAATCTTGCTTCAGTTCTAATTTGCAGTAAGATAGTCTGGAATAGCTTGAAAAGCTATCCGCAAAGACTCTAAAGAACTTACTAATTTAAGACGGTACACAAGGGGAATGTATGAAGAAGTTAATTGGGAGCATTAACTGAATTTAGTAATGAATCTACATATCATCGAGCAGAGAATGAGAGGCTGTTTCTCTGCAGTACTGAGATGTGGGCCATTTCAGGGAGGGAGGCTGAGCATCTTTGATTCAACCTCTTTTAAATTGAACATACACAGCCCCACATAATCTATTTTAAAAATAACATGATGTGTGACATTCAAGGAGGCATATAGCTTCAGCTGCCATTCTCCAGAAATGAGGAATCAAAAGAGGACAGAACTCTTCTGAGACTTATGCTGTATTGTGGGGTTGGATTCTTTCTTTGGGGGGGGGGGGGGGAGCAATACTTAGGAATTAGAATCTGTGATGCTTAGCTTTTGAGGGATTTCTACCTGCCTCTTAAAGTTCAGATAAGGGATTGTTTTCACAATTCTATACCCAGAGTCACTTCATGATTGAGGCAGCATAAAAGCTGATAAAAATATAGATAAATAAGTAACATAATAGGCCAGTAAAAGCTGTTATTTGCAATTCCTGGCTATTTGTTGGCTTATGGAAATGCCACAGAATGTTCAGTACTATTCTAAAAATTCAACATTTTATTTATTCAATTTCTGTTATTCTAACTGTCTATAATAGAGCATTGATTAAGAATATAATTTCTATGATGGCAATGAAGGGGAAAAGATAAAAGTATTTCACAGGAGGCACAGGAGATCAAAAGTACTGTTTGTAGAAAAGAAATTAGAAAGCAAGATCTTTTGGAGGGCTGAAGACCACAGTTATGTTGAGTTGAATTCTAGATTATTTATCCACAATATTAAAAGAAAGCAGCACACAGCCTGCTTTACCTCTTCTATGAGCAGGCAAACAAATCAGGTAGGGATGGTTTAATAAGATGTTTAGCCTAGATTAGGGCTTATTATATCTAAACAAACCAGGGCTGTAAATGAGTTAACTCTACAGTGCTGGATCCTGAAAGATTGGAAAGCAAGAATTTCTTTCTTCTGTCATACATGAACCTATGATGGAGTAAAAAAAAAAAATAAGGTTCTATTCACATAAGCACATTCATAATTTCAAGAAATATTAATCAATAATTGATTGCAGACAAATGATTGGCAAGCCCTTTAAAGAAGGCTGTAATTCAGTTGGATCAGTTGTGGCTGTGTCATCTTAAGATGGTGTTGTCTTAAGACAGTCTTTGTACCCTCAAGATGTGCTATAACCTCCATTGATCCCATATTTTTGAGAGGTTGTGATGGGCCATCTGGACAGCAATGGAGAATGCTTGGATTCCTCGCTTTAAACATTTTAATTACCAACCACTGGGCTATCTTGTAAATGATTTTATTGGTGCTTTAATTTTCTGTTGTGGGACACTCCAGTTTATAATCACTACTGGAAGAGCCCAATGGCTCACTTATGACACTTAATTTAGAAATACAGTAGATACTGGTTTACTAATGTGTGGCTATAATGATATCTACTGTATCTCTTCTCTCTTTTAGGTGTCTTCTTTAGAAAGGTAAGTTGTATCTTTTCTAATATACTACTAGATAACTCATGACCCATTGGGTCAACACTTCAGAGATTTTTCCTTACTAGATTCTTACAGCCTTCAAAAATGGCAGAACTTCTAATGTATTGGAAAAGTTCTTAGAAATTCAGGGAGATATCCAGAGAGGTCCCTGCCCTGAATGTAGTCCATGCAGTACAGGGGTGTCAAAATGCCAGCCTGCAGTCTGGTTGCATCATGCGGAGGCCGCGCCCACCCCAGCTCCAGCAATGTGAAAAAAGTCGCAATACGTCATGACATGCCACGTGACGAGTTTGACATCTCTGGTATAGTACAATCAAAACATGAGGAGTTGACCACAAGACATGTTTTATGATATTTTTTATATTATGTCATAAAATGCTTTGTGGTAATGTTTATGTTATAAAATGTTTTATAAAATTTGCCAAATTTCTATTTCATGGGAATTTTGGGTGCCAGATTTTGGATGCATTCTGTAAGTTAGCCCATTTGAGGTATCTTGGTTCAAAAATTGCGCCCCTACGATATACCGTTTTGCCCAATTAAAGGTTACACACAGACAAACAGGAGAGCTTTAGATGCATATCATGGCAAAATGAGGGAAGTTGTGTTTTTGTTTTAACTTTAACTGGGTTTTCTAAGAGCTGTAAATATCATACCATGTACCATATGGAGATTTTTAAGAAGAGATGTTCTGCTTGAGCAGGGGGCTGAACTAGAAGACCTCCAAGGTCCCTTCCAGCTTCTATTTCTATATAAAGAAAACCATTATTGTTCAAGTATAATCCTTGAACTGTACTCCTGGATATTAGACCAGGAATGGAATCATGGGAGCAGTAGCAGAGAAGTTGCTCATATCAGCTATTAACAGAGATTGGGGACTGGAAGCAAGATTGGGATGAAAGGAACAAGGCAGGCTGATAATGTAACAGTAAGCCATTATTCAGATAACACTGAATAATCTCAGCACAAGTCTGGGACATTTGCATATATCTTGGCATCAACTGGGTGCTTATCTGGGTCTTAAAAATATCTGCTGGAAAATAAAAAAAAAGTGTTATTGCAGCTTGAAATTCGTCAGTTTTGTCATAATCTTGAAAACCCCAAGAATCGCTAAATCTGAGCAAGCTGATATCTCCATATGAATTCTGTACCTTAGGGCTTAGAAGAAGTAGGCAGTATTTGGATAAAATATAGCAAAGTTCCAAGATGAAAATCAGGCTATTTTTGCTAAGCTGCATTTTTTCAGTTCCTTCATTCCCTTAATACTGGGAAACAGTCATCTCTGCTTAGACATAACTGATTGAACTTTGATATAACCTTGACGCCAGTTTTTCTCAATAAAGGTACTTCACATACTTAGCTAGAGTCATCAAATGGAGAGATACCAAGCAATGTATACGGTACAGTGTACATAATTTTAGAACATCTTTCTGATGATGATCTCTGTTTATTTTCTCCTCCTATTAGTACACGGAAGAGCAAGGGAGAAAACTAGGACTGGTTGGCTGGGTGAAGAATACAGCCCATGGGACTGTGACTGGACAGGTGCAGGGGACAAAGGAGAAAGTGGAAATTATGTAAGTAAGGAAACCTGGCTGCTCCAGTTGGAACAAGTGGGTGATAGTACCTGACCATAAAAAATAAAGACGTAGATCAGTGTTTCTCAACCTTGACAATTTTAAGGTATGTGACTTCAACTCCCAGAATTCCACAGCCAGCAATGCTGGCTATGGAATTCTGGGAGTTGAAGTCCACATGCCTTAAAATTGTCAAGGTTGAGAAACACTGACGTAGATGGTATGGAGATAGGGAAAAGGACATCACATGACTCCTGAATTACCAGTGCTGAAGGCCAATTTTGGAATTGGAGTGTTCTTTGAAATCCAGTACTGTACAAGTTGTCAGGAGTGAAGTTGGAATTGTTTGTTTGTTTTTTTCCTTGCACTTGCTGGCCAATACCTTTGATGATGAAGATGTTCCACCACAGGCCTTAATTGTTGACTTTCTGAGCTAGTACTAGCCAGGTTACTGCTAATCAAACAGCTAAGCAACTATTTCTGCAGCCATCCACAGGGTGCTGAATACAATGTAAAGTTACTTATGTTCCTCTCTTGATCAGAATATGTTTTATTTTTATTTAAAAAATTAAAATCTATAAGTTAAGGTGTGAGGCTAGTGTACTAACCCTTCTTGTTCTTTTTCCTAAAAGAAAAAGTTTAGAAACCCCATTCTGATTAGGTTCCACATTAAGCTTCATCAGTGGATTCACTGACTATATGATTCATGTAGAAGATGACCAAGTTGAGCCTGAGAGAAGGGTCAAACACATCATCAGTCTTGATTCCCGTCAGGCCCCAAAGAGATCTAAGTCTAGTCCACCTTGAATTCTGTTGACTCTTGTCTACTGCCAAGTTGCTTTGACCGTTAGTAGTTCAGATTCTTGTAGAGAGCGTTAGCATAAAATAAACCTGTATATTCATCTGAACTGCCCTGACTCTTGATTTCCTGTGCTTGACAATTCATTTAACAACTGCAGTGCTTCACTTAATAACTGTGGCAGAAAAATGTAAAATTGGGTGCAATTCACTTGAACAACCCCCTTGCTTAACAATAGAAATTCTGGTTTCGATTGTGGTCGTAAGTCAAGGACTACCTATAATAGAAATGAGAGCCTATTATAACAATTTTCACAATTGTGATCTGAAGATAGCCCCTATCAGCCTATTATAGGAGTCTTTCCCTTCCATCCACCCTCCATTGAGAATGCCTATGTAGGGTACCTCTCCAGACTCTGCCTCCAGAGGGAATTGACACCCTTAAATCTAGGACTTGGGTCAGCTTGCAATTAAAGAACTGGTCCAGAAGGAGATGAAGAAAATTGCTTTATGAAGTTTTGAGCCATAGCAGAGGTGATTCTGTATGGGGGTGGAAGGAAAGCAAGAGCAAGTGAGCGAAAGCAGGTCTGGTTTTAGGGTGACCCGCAAGCGTTGGGTTGTGTTGGTGTAACAACTTCTGCAATAGTGCTTTGTCACCTTTAGAAAGATGACAGCCAGAGGTAATTACTATAGCAACCAGATCTTCTATCACCTTGAAGAGGGGGGGGGAGGGAGGGAAGGAGAGAGAGAGAGAGAGAGAGAGAGAGAGAGAGAGAGAGAACATGAACAAAAAATAATAATCTGGGACAGTTGCCATAGCAACCTGCCTCTACATATTGTCTACCTTCATCTCTCAGGGGGAGGGGGAAATTGGGGCCATTTCCATAGCAACCACACTACTCCATCCCTGGCTTTGAGGAAGCAGGGATAAATAGGAAGGAGATAATCCACAGCAACACTATTCCTCAAGGCACATTCTTCTTCTCCACCTACCCCTTTTCTCCTCCCAGGTCAGTGCAGGATAAGAAAGCAAAAGTGTAAAACCATCCATGTGGCTCTCACCATTCTTTTGCAATTAAGAATTGGGTGGGAATAAATAGGCAGCCTTTTACTTTTTGAAATGGAATACCAGCTGGGCAAATGTATTGTGTGTGGGCAATGTGCAGAAAGTTGTTTTCTTATGTTACATGGAAAAACTCATTCATAGGTTCTTTATATAACATGATCCTTAGAACTTTTCTTTAGATTTCACAGGCGTGGACTGCTTTTATATTTTTTTGTTTAAAAATCAAACAGCTATATCCATTTCAGTTTTGGTTGCAGTCACATACACCCAGGTATTGGGCATGGTCTTCCAACTGATCACTGTGTTTGCCTTTCCCTCTGCTGCCAAATTGCAAATGTAAATTACTGTAAAATACATGGTGACTGTATTTAATTTGATTTTAATTAAATGTAAATTAGATCACATTTAGATTGTGTTTTGCCCCTTTAATGCCTAGAACGCAGCATGGCGTGAAAGGTGGGATTTGCATAAAATCCTAAAATGTTAAAAGCATAATTGCTGTGCCCACTCAAAGAATAAACCGCATTCTAGCTTAGTATGATGATCTCATTCATGTAAGCCAATAGCTGGGTTCCTACAATATTAAATTATGCAATTCAATTTTATCCTGGTCTAGCATGTTGTACGAACAAAGCAAAAAAGTAACCTTTTGCCGGGAAAATAATCTAAAAACTAGCAATGTTACAATGATGAAAGGGTTTTGTGATAAGATACTACACTTGATCTTAGTCAAAGGGCTCAAATTTTTTTGTGTGGAATATAGTTTATAAGACAATTAATCTATTAGTCCATGAAAATTGATAACAGAGTATTTACTTATTCTGTAAGGTTACAAGATACTGGTTTTGCTTCCACAAATTCAGAACTCTTCGGGAAGTTATTTTAAATTGAATAAGCCTGTTTTTTTTCCTGTTTAAATGATTACATTTAGAGCTAAAGATAGCATATCTGTTTTCTTTTGTTCTCAAAATGAAATTATAGAGACAAAGTAATCAGGTGACAAAGGAGTAAGTGACTCGATGTCATTCAGTTGATTTAATGGCTCAGATTTATTTATTTGATTAATTTAAAAGACTTGTATGATTACCCATCTTAAAAAACTCTGGATGGCTCACAATATAGGTTTGAACTAGAGTCTACTTAGTTTTATTCTACCAAATATATATACATATTTGGCTCAGGTTATAAAATGACTATAGATAGTCCTCTGGAGTAGTCTTTGTATTTATAAGCATGGCAGTGTCCCTGCAGTCACATGATCAAAGTTTCTGCCCTTGACAACTGATAAGCAATGCTTTCATGTATTTATGACAGTTGAAGTATCTTGGAGTCATGCAATCCCCATTTGCAACTTTCCCAGCTGTCTTACAAGCAAAGTCAGTGGAGGAAACTGGATTCATTTAATGACTTCAGAAAAAAGGTCATAACTCTCTTAACTGCATCTGTTACTGATAGAAGTTATAGTCCCAATGGTGGTTATAAATTGAGAACTACCTGTATATTTCAGGCATCAATTCTACCACTATATGTTCCAAAATCATCCAAAGATATTAGAAAAAAGATTTAATATAAGTTTAATCCCTCCAATTCTCCTTTAAGATGGGGGTAATGTACACATTTGAACTCAAAGGAGGAGGGCTTATATTCAGGGTGCAATGTTAAAAGAGTCTCTATAAAAGCCTATATGAGATCCCTTGTTTTTCCAATTACGTGGGAATTTATCCCATTACAATTATTTAAATCTTCACGAGTGAAAGCCTATTTAAATCTTCTCCCCACCTTTTTTTCCCCTTCTGCAACATTATTTACTGCAAGTTAATTGGAACCATTTGTTCTGCTGGTAACTTTTGGCAGTGTACTTCCCTCCTTTCAATGATTCATGGTGAATCTGTATTAAAATGTCTAATAAAAATGGGCCTTGCCTTCCAACAAATGTGCACATTGCACCTGACAGCTTTTTTTGGGGGGGGTCTGTAAATAGCTACATTCCTGCTCTGGGTAAAACAGGAGAAGAAGGGACTTGCGCTGTTAATTTTTGCTTCTTCTTCCCCGCCCAGGAAGAATTGGTTACGTAGCGTCGGAAGCCCCATGTCTCGCATTGATCAGGCCGTGTTCTCAAATGAGAGGCAGATCGCAGCTCTGGAGTTCCAGTCCTTCACCACCAAGTATTAAAGGCAGTTGGCTGGTCCAGATGGGATATGGTTACGTCTAACTACTACGAGGGTTTTTCTACTCAGAAGGAAGTATCACCTTCCCTCTCAACAAGGATGTGTTGTTACTGCTTCTACTGACAGAGTGTGTTTTAGACCTATGGCACTTCCAGGACTCTTGATTCTTCTAGGCTGCTAGTGAACTGGAAAGCACTTGCTGCCCTTAAACATCTGATAAAACAACATATCCACTGTTCTTCCCCCCCTTTTCTTATAGTTTGTACTATACTAGTTTGTACCTTACTAGTTTGTAAGGAAAAGAACTAGAGGTAGAAGGAAATGTGTTCTCTTGAATCTTTTGTTTCCCAATATGTTCATGGGCAGTTGTCTTTTAAGCAGACATATAAAGAAAAGTTTCCTACTTCCTTCCTGGAAGCATTCTGCTTCTTCTTAACAACAATCCCCAATCCCAGCAAAGACTATTGGCTCATTAAAGATGATCTTTGAAGGAAAGCAAAACTGTCTTTTTTTCAGTGGAAACTAGGCAAGCTCAGATACCTGCAGAAGCTTTTTTGGAGAAGAAAGATAATATTTATTTCTGGAGCAGCTCTGCGAAGACCAGAGAATGGAGGTAGGAAGATTGAGAGAAGCAATAACATAATACGGGTAGCATTGGCGGTCTGTTCTGCAGCTTGTATGGCTCAGCTGCCTGGTGTATTTCAATAATTAATGTGGGTTTCTCTTTTTCTCGGCTGCAATTGAGATGCAGAGATTGTCCATTTGTGAAAGTCTTTCTGATTATCTGTCCACTTTCCCAAGCTTTTCCTCTTTTCTAAGTCACAAATTTCTCTGTGCTGAAAGTATACATTCTAGAACATGGAATGGTGAAGGAACAAAAGAAGAAACAATGCAACATACAAATGTATTAGCAGAAAATTTGACCCAGCAAAGTTGTTTCTTCTCACCAGCTGTTTCTTGAGTTATTTCTACTCCTTGCTCTTGCCCAATCTTTTGTGGTCTTCAGCATTATGGATGGAACAACAGATTTTCTGATTTGCAGAGAAACCTTTGAAGCTGCCAAGACTGTGAAAATGACAGGCAAATGGAATGCCAAGTGTTCTTTGAAGTCTGAAGATGGGGTGTGGGCTTAGTTTTTGCTGTAGGTTTTTAAAGCAGAGAGGGCTGGATGTTTGGCGATGGGGGGGGGGGGTTAAACTCATATAACAGTGCTTTCTGCAAAGGCTCATCCTTTGTCACAACTGTCTAGCCCAAATGTTCATGCGTAATAGTTATCACCTTCATTTCAGTTTGTTTATATTGGATGCTTTAGCCACCTTTGACTGTAATTGATTTGAAGGAAATAGTTCTGGAATCTAACAGGTTATAGTACAAACATCTGACTTGCACTTCTTACAGGAATGCCTTAGTGTTTTGAAGGTACCAAATTTTTAGGAACATAGGCAATGCAGAAATATGGTAGAGAGGATTATCATTAGACAGGCAAAGGATGAAAGCTGAAATCAAAATCCTTGACAGTAAATGTCAGCTTGGGAGGAAGAGAAGGACCTTCCCCTCCTGATATGATATGATATAATATATATATGTAGGTCATATGTAGGTCTTTGATTGTTCGGGTTTTCTCCCACGTCAAATTGGAAGTGTCTTGGTGACGTTTCGACGAAGTCCCATTCGTCATCTTCAGGCTGGTGTTTTCGGCTTCGTGCTTCTAGGAGCCTGAAGATGACAAATGGGACTTCGTCAAAACGTCGCCAAGACACTTCCCATTTGACGCGGGAGAAAACCTGGATAACCAAAGACCTACATATATATATATATATATGTATATATACCAAGAGTTTTTCAGACAGACGGTATGATTGATTTTACCTTAGGCATTTTGACTGCTATACTGCAGTTCTACTTTTTTTATAATCTCTTTTGCCTTGCAGCCCCCCAACTATGGGCATTAAGCAGGCTATATATATATATATATATATATATATATATATATATATATATATATATATATATATATATATATATATATAAACAGGTTATTGTAAAAATGGGATTCAACCAGGCATTGTAACGTTAAAAGATTCTGTCCAAACTGGACGCAACTTTAAAATTTAATATCTGTACAGAATCTACATCTTTGAAGAATGGGATCCCAGCAAAACAAGACTTGATCAAATACACCAATCACCCATTTCAGAGCTCTGCTTTTCAGTAATACTAGATGCTCCAAGGATGCTCATAGACAAGATAGTAAGGTAAGATGAAGTGCATCCCTTGTCCTTTGTCCCCAGTATTTGGAATCCAGGTCTGCTTTGTAGCAGTTATAGCATTTTCTTTATCCAGGCATGTCATTTTTTTTTTTTTTAGGTCCCTTAGTTTCACTCCCATTGCTAAACCAGCCCGCTACTTTAATCATTGTGCCCCCAACATAATTTGGTTTTCCCTTGGTTAAGAAGAAAGGGTTTTGGATAGTGACACTGTTGCATCTTGGCCGAGTTAGCAGTGTGCTGTAGGAATAACTATTACGTCATTTTTAGTTGAGATTTGAACCTGTAGATATGGAGGATACTTGTTATTTTCCACAGAACTAGAAGGCGCTGGAATTAAACCATCAAGAGGCCCTAGTTTCGACACACTTCCCTCAAACCTGTTTCATTCTTAGGTGCTTGACACAGGAACACCGAAGAATGCTAATACATGTAAATTCAGTTTCTGGGTTTACAATACTATGTCAAGCTATGGCTTCTTTAAAAACAACCCTCCTCCCAAAAGCTACAAATTTATTGTGCCCCACTCCAAACCAATAGAAACCACATCAGGGTTTAAGCCATGGATTGCCCTCCAGTGCTGACTGGGGAGGGGGGTCTCCAAGACCTCCGATATGAATTTTACTTGGCACTACTACAGATTAAAGTTCAGCATCTTTTGCACCCACAATTTACTTATTTATTGCCGAGCCCTCTCCCTTCTTGCACACTCCGGCTGCGTTTGCATAACACGGGTCTCCCGGGATAACTGAACCAGATTTACTGAATCATCTCCATGACTTGGATGCACGTAAAGCCATCCAACGGTGCTGGCTGAGTCTCTACTGCCCATTGGCCAAACACAAAGCCACTGTAATGTTTGCTTAAATGTGGTTTACTAGATAAATCAGAATTAGGGTTTCACACTTCCCCCTCTCCCACTCAAAACGGGAAAATCTGATTATTAAGGTCGGTGATGTAAACGAAAGTTTAGCATTACGCCTATTTTCAGTCCTAATACGCGTAGGTGGCTTGGCTTGGGTAAACCGAAGGCACCCAGAAAACACACACACACACACACACACATACACAAAAATAAATCTGAATAAATGCGGCCAGGACCCTCCGTCGCCCCTCTCCCCAGAAGCGCTTTGGCCACGTGTGAGCCCGGCCTGGCTCCCCCAGCGGCTCCGGGTGAATGGCGGGGGACGCGCCCAATAGCGGATCCGGCCTCGTGGCTCGGAGGCGGGGGCTCCTTGTCAAACCGAGCCGGGCTCGGCAGTCCGTTCCGCAGCCAGGGCTGGCGAGGCTGCTCCATCGAGAGGCGGCGGCAGCAGCAGCAGCAGCATCCTGCTGGCACGCCCGGGCTCTATCCCGGCGCCACCTGTGATGCTGGCGGAGGAGCAGCGGAGGGAGGACGGCGATGCGCGCAGCGGGCGCGCCTTGAGCCGAAGGAGACGCCGGGCGCCCGTGGCAGGAGGCGGTGGCGGAGAGAAGTGAGCCGCGGTTTGGGGGCCGAAGGTGGGGACGCTGGGGCTTATTGTCTCGGCGACTTAGGAAGGGACGGGGGGGGGGTCGGCTGCCGAGTTGCTCCCGCAAAGCCCGTGCCGCTCGGGGCCTTGGGAGGCGGCCGAGCCGGCGGGCTCTCCAATGCGGCATCTGGAGAGAGGTGGAGGAAACGTGCAAGGTCTCGCTGGCCGAGGAGCGGTCCCTGGCGGGGTTTGGGGGCGACAGGCAGGGGGGGGGGTTTGTCCCTCCAGCGCAGGCGGAGAAGCGGGCAGCGGGCAGGAGATGCTCTACGGGAGGTGGCGCAGCGTGGGCTGGCCAGGCAGCCGGTCCAGCCCGTGCGCTCTCAGGGTGGCCGCTGGTGTCCTCTGCGCGGAAGGGAAGGCGCGTTCCTGAACGGGGACGCCCTGTCCAACGGCCGCCGTGTGACTCGGGGCTTCTTAGGCCGGTTCCCGGATGGATTTCGCGCGCCGAGTCGAGGGCCTGCCTGCCTGCCCCCCTCCCTCTCCCTCCTTCTCTACCTTTCTTTCACGATCGAGGCGGAGGGAGCTCCGGAGATTTATTGGAAGCTCGCCTTCCCCCCCCCCACTCCTGAAGAGGACGCTGGATTTTCTTCCGTGGGTTGGCAAATCTGCTGGAACCTTCATCCCCTTACAGCTTCCCGTTGCCCCCCCCCCTCCTGCACATGCACAGAGATCCTCTTTCCGATCGTTCCCTGCCACAGTCAAAATGGGGTTTACGTAAGGAGAAAACCGCTCAAATTCAGCTTTGATCGCTTAGCCCTTGAGGGCTAGGAGCGGGGACAATGTCGGTCTTCTTTCTTTGAAAGAAGCTTACGTTTTTTGTGTGCAGCCAACATTTCTCAGCCTTGAGCAAGGGACCTCCTGTGCGTTCCTGGCTTTTGTATTTGAGTACATGTGTGCATGGTATTTTCTCCATATTTAGTCATTGGGGTCCTCTCCCACCCCCCCACCCTTTTTCTGAACAACCGGGATATGATGGACTATTCTGCAATGGCTGCATTTTAGCAGGATCAAAGGAAAAATGCCCTGGCTTACAGATGTTCGTTTAGAAGAAAAACAAACTATTTCCCCTTTCCCCATTTCCTCCAAGTCCCCTCAGGCACGGATTATTTTAGGATTAAGTGAAGAAAAAGCTTTGGCATAAAGACCAAGCAGGTAATAGATTTATGATCAAAATAAATTATTCTGCCAAAGCAGAAACAGGAGATAGATCAGAACCTACCTGTAGATTTTTAAAATTTCCTATAGCAGGTGAGCAGAACTTTCTGACTTCTGGTTGTTTACCATTAGGAGCAAAGCTAAATCTTCCATTCTTAATCCCTCTGTTGCAAGAACAAAGTTTGAGGTGATCAGGTGTTAATTTTGGTGGGCACAGGTTCTGAGCTTTATTCAGTTCTGGTTTTCAAAACAAATTGCACATACAGCACAGAGTCACAATTGGTTTAACCAAGGTTTATTCAACTGGTTGGTTTTCTATATAACATATGCAGTCCTAATGCTTCAGAAACTTGAAGATTGGATTTGTGTAACAGGCTTAAGATGCAAACAAGTAACCCACACTGTGGCTTTGCTCAAAATGTAAACCCAGCCTTTCACTCCATGAATGGGTCCACATATTACACATATTTTAACCATTATTTGTTCAATAAGCCATCTGGATTATTGGCTGGATGTCATATCATACTAAGACATGAGCTTTGGCATATAAACTACAGCGAAAGAGTTCCTGTCACATGTTAAGCTCAAAATCAAGAAATCTTTTTATGGCTTAGCATGCTGTGTAAAGTTGATTAGAGTAATGTACATGCCTATAAACACAAAAATAAGAAAAATGGGATCATGTAAACATGACACTGTCCTTTCTTGTGTTTTAGAAGGGTTAGAGTTAAGCCTACAATCCTTGCATTTAAAACGAAAATGTGTTCCCAGTGAACAAATAGACACTTAAAAGACCTGGGTACATTCCCTGAAACATCTGGGGTGGGGTTCAGGGGTGTTGTGTTCCATGGGTAAGATCTGGTTGCAGTTCCATGTTCTTCCAACCTTTTCTGGTGCATGGTCATCTCTTAAAAACACATCATAATGTTGCTGATGCTCTTATTAATTTAGTTAACAACATTGTTGGCAATGGAGTGGGAATTGATCTTAGAAAATGCCTTCTGTATCAGCTTTAGAAAATGTCTGTTTCCAAATTGTGGCACAGCTTCCAACTTACGGTATTGCTTTAGACCAGTATTCTCAACCTGTAGTTTGCGGACCCCTGGGGGGATACGATGCAGTCACAGGGGGTCCACAAAAGCTTGAAGAGTTTAAATCTTGAGTTAGGTCTCAGCCACAAAAGATATTTAAAGGGGGTTGATGGTGAAGAAAAGATGGAGAACCACTGCTTTAGACTTACAAGCAGAGGTCCTGTGTGGGTTGACTGTATGCCACTAGTGTGGCTTTACAACGTACTAAGCTAAAATTAAACTACACTATGGTTTAATATACTGTGTGAACCCAGCCACTGCAGCATGTAAAGCTGTGCTTTATAATTTTACATGTACCAAAAACATACTAATAGTGACTGATCAATCTGTAATTAAACAATCCATAGCTAAGTGTTAACCTATGAACCAGACAAGCGTGTTAAGAGTGTGGTCTGAGTCCTTTTGGACATTTTGCTGTCTGAAGTTTGAAAAAGTTTCATATGTCATATTTTCAGCTTGTTGACCCACATGTCATTACAGCTTTGTGGATATTTGGAACCACGGATCTCCATAGCCTGCTAAGGCATAATATTCTTTATTTGAGTTGTGTTCTAGCACGCTGCATGAATCCAACCGTCCTGCTTTTAAAATCACGGCTTAACATTCTAGGTAAACCTCACTAATTGTTAATTACAGGTAGTCCTTGACTTACAATCCCAATTGAGACCACAGTTTCTGTTGCTAAGCGAGACGATTGTTAAGTGAGATTCACTACATTTTCTTGCCACAGCTGTTAAATGAATCACCCCAGTTGACAAGTTAAGTGGAACGGTTGTTAAATAAATCTGACTTCCCCATTGCCTTTGTTTGTCAGAATGTTGCAAAAAGTCATCCCAAGATACTGCGACCATCGTAAATATGAACTAGATGCCAAGGCATCTGAATTTTGATTTTTTTTGTGACTGTGGGGATGCTACAATGGTTATAAGTGTGAAAAATGGTCACAAGTCACTTTTCTCAGTGCGGTTGTAAATTTGAATGGTCGCTAAACAAATGATAAGTCGAGGACTACCTGTCTTGAGCAAACCATGGCTAACAAACTACATTTTAGCATGCTATTTAAATCCAACAGTATGGCCTCGGCGCTGTCATCACTTAAGCCAGAGAAAGCAGATATCCAACTTTACTTCCAGAAAGTGCTAACCTAATATGTGATGATTCAGGCCACTCTATCCTATCTCTACTGCAGAATTAAATAGTTTAAAACCAGTCCTTTCTAAATAACGGCAGAAATAATCTCTTTCGAGAGCTGCATCGTATTCTCTCAGAGCTGGATCATAGGTGGTGGGCAGTGCCAGAAGTGAAATTGGCTAGAATCACCCCTTTTTTTCACACACCCCCCTCACGCCCGCCATCTCCTTTTCTTCCTCTTGCTCTCAGCACATATAACAGCTCAAAGCGAAGAGGATTAACAGGAAATCTGTTAACTGGCAGAGCGGTTTTCGTATCAGGCTTTTGCAGATGCTTGTCTAAGGAAAGCCTGGAGACTGTAACTATGTGAAGAATTTGTGAGTGCCGTTGTTGGGGTTGTCTAAAAGAAAATGGCAGTTGAGTCAGTAAAGTGTGTGTTTGTCTGTGTGAGATTGCCCCATTTCCCCCCCCCCCAGCAATGAGGTGTTGTTTAAACATCAAAGCTGCATCTGATGGAGAGAAAGGAAACAAAATTATCCTATCAGCTCTGCTGAAGGACTAGCTACCTTTCTCTCTCTACTGGTCTTTATTGGCACTGTGTGCTGTAATAAGATTTTTTTTCTTCTCCTCCTCCTCCTCCTCCGTTTTTTTTTTTTTCTTGACTGTATTTTACTTTGTGAGGTTGGTAGCAAGGGTGTCCTTGTCTGCCAACAGTTTGGGGAGACTTTTTTGCCTGAATTGATTGATTGATTATGTGCCATCCAATTGACGTTGGCACTTAGCAATCTCATAGATCTTCCGCCAGGACAATCTGTTCATAAACTGGTTCTCCAGGTCTTCTTAAGGGTGCACCCATCACTGTTGTAATTGAGTCCATCCATCTTTCTGCTGATTGTTCTCTTCATCTCTTTTCTCTTCCCTTCTACTTTTCCCTGCCTTAGAGCCTTCTAAAACAGCTTAGTCTTTGCTTAATCTTTCTGAGTACAGGCAAGTCCTCAACGTACAATCACAACTGAGCCCAAAATTTCTGTTGCTAAGTGAGACCGTTTTATACAAACTTTTTGCCACTGTTTTTAACTGAATCACTGCAGTTGTTAAGTTATTAACACGATTGTTAAGTGGATCTGGCTTCCCCATTGACTTTGTCTATGAGAAGGTCACAAAAGAGACTCACATCACCCTGGGACACAGCAACCATCATAAATATGAACCATTTCCCAAGCATCTGAGTTTTGATCACATGACCATGGGCAGGGATAGGCAACCTTGGCTCTTTTATGACTCATGGACTTCAACTCCCAGAATTCCTGAGCCAGCATGGCTCAGCTTGGAAACCTCTCCCTTTCCCCTCAGCGTGGCTGGCTCAGGAATTCTGGCGATTCACTTCTGAATTGATTACATTGATAATTACATATTATAAGATCTGTTCTTTTGTTAGAGTTTACAGCATTGTTTCTCAGCCTTGCCAATTTCAAGATATCCGACTTCAGCTCCCAGAATTCCCCAAGTAGCATGCTTTAGGATCTGTGGACTTCAACTCCCAGAATTCCTTAGCTCGCATGCTTACTAAGGAACTCTGGGTATTGAAGTCTGCACACATCTTGAAGTGCCC